GCGTTTCATGAGTTTTTATGATGATCTAAGCTAATTTTGCGAAAAAAAGATTTCGGGACCAATTCCTATACTTTCCCTTGACACGGTGTGTACGGAAAAGTAATTATGCGACTTAATCGCATATTTATCAACAATAATATGGGGGATTTGGAATTTGAATGTTGCCATTTTTTTTTGCTCATCTCTCAGTCACATTAATGCGTAGGCTTTACAAAGCTTAAAATAAATACAATCATATTTTGGTTTTTGGTGCTAGTATTGATTTCACAAGCATATATTTAAATATTTTATCACTTCTGATTATACGCTTTTAATATAACCCTATCAATGTTTGAACAATCTTCTGTTTGAAATATTGAAATTCACAATGATATATGGGCCGAAAATTACACAAACAAAGACGAATGAAGAGAAAAAAAACAGGATACGCGAGACACTAATAAACAATGTAGTTTCTTATTCGCACTATGGAATTCTACAGTTATCTATAACGACAACAAAACAAATCGGTTTTTGTCAGCGAAAAAATATACGTCGCAATATGTTTCCGATTCATCGCCTCTTTTTTTCGTTGCAATCTAATTAATTGAGTCATTCTTTCAATCTGAAGTATTGGCGAAAGGATGTGGTTAATCGATGCATCTTTGAATTTAAGGTGACAACAGGCGAAACAAGTACGAACGATGACCTTTTTTTCATCATGTCATGCCTTATAGCCATTTGTATCATCATCGCTGATTTGAAGTTCACTGTTCGTTACGGTAATTTACGGTTCAGAAAGGTTTTGACGATAATTTTTCGTTGTCTTTGTTTGGATCGGAAAAACGATCGTTTATAAAGAGCTTCTTGAATGATGATATGAATCTAAGGTATGTAATTGATTATGACAATGTCATTCGATCGATTACCCAGTGCCATTATTTTCCACTTTATGGTACGTAAGAAGTTCAAGTGAACCATACGAATCAACGGTAATTGTTTAAATAATAATCATCGGATGTAGAAACTTAGCCAGATTGTGTAACTTTTTCCGTGTATACATCGACAATGTCGATTCGACATTCGACAGCATTGAGAAAATGAGTATAAGTGTCTGGCACAAATCGAAATCGCCGCCGAAAAGTCGACAAAGTATCAATTAGCTCATTTTCTTTCGATTTGAGCTTGTCTAAGAGTTGCAAAACAATTGTGCTGTATTCTTCAGGGCGTTAATGTGTGAACCGAATTTGTTCAACTCCTGAGAGCAAAACTACGATTGTCTTTCATTTAATAAACGATAATTTCACTTCGTCCAATTTGAAATCAACTCCTCCAGCAGAGTGATCACTATTATTTGTTTGGAATCGACGAGTTCATTATCCGCCAATGATTCGATGGGCGTTGTTCACTCATTTGCACTCTGCTTTAGAAGCATTTTGTGCGCGGCAAAAACGTTTGATAGTTAGATAATTTTCGGTGCATGTACGTTATAAGTTAGTAAGCCATTTGTGTGTGTATTTTTTTTTCATTATGACGAAGCTTTGAAAAGTAATGTCCAGAAATTAAACCAATTAAAGGCAATGGCCATAATGTGAGTTAAACCATCATTATAACTATTAAACAACGGTTACATCTTTGTCGGGCCAAAAAAAGGTGATGTGAAAAGTTTTAAGGTGAAGTCATCATTATAGATTTAATAGTTTTACGGTTTGCACTTTCTTGCTTGAATATTGTTCACCCGCTAAATGGGCAAATGGCTTGATGGTTAGTCAAATGAGTTGCATCAATTGTGCATATCTGTCGTTGTTTGGTATGTTGACAGAGATCAATAAAAATCTGTCGAGAAAAAAAAGCGTTTAAAATTCAAAAATCGATTCGTTTGGTTTGTTTTGAATTGCATGAATTGCATCAACATGAAACCGTTCGGTGGTGTACAAATTGTGCTAATTGGTTGAATTTTTGTACGAATGCATCAGAAAAACCATGAACGCGCGCAGAAAAAGAATTATTTTTACTGATTTTTTTTTTTTAATGGCGATTAATGTCTTGATGGTTCGGTTTCATAGCTCGATAAGTTTTTGTGCAATTTTTTTGTTTCTCTGCTCGTCGCGATCGATGATGGCATATATAAATATCATGGAATGAACATAGGTTTCGTGCTGAAATTATTTATGACTTGGAAGTGTTTTTTGCTTCACCTGAACCGAACTCTATGTTTAATTTGAATTTTGTTTGATGTAAATGGCCCGTAATTAAATTGATTGTTTGCCAAATCGAAAATTAATGAAATTTAATCCCCACAGAGATACCCACATCAATTCAGCCTTCTTCTTAAAGGTATTTTTTTCACTTCGAGTGGCTTATTTTCGATATTGTTCACATTTATCGGATTTGACCACCAGTTAATACCATCGGTATTGTTTAATCGAATACAAAAATCCACATAAATCATGCATGATGCGGGTATTGCACGCGATGAGCATGGAAGTCGAGCAAATTCAGTGCCGTTGCCACCGTTCGCCGTTATAGTCATTGTCTCTCAATCGCAAAGCAACTGACACTGAAATTACAAATTGACTGACAATTCCGAAATAGAAACGATAATAATCACTTCACCTTTACCTACATTCCAGCTTTGTCGTTTCATGCAGTCTTTTGTTTTGCCCAATCAGTCGGCTTAGTTGAACCTGCCGACCAAATACAATCAATTCAAATGCTTTTTCAACACGCACAAATCTAATGCCACTGTTTCACATGCCAATGTTTTCAATAACCAATGAACCAAACAAATTGTTTGCCCAAAATTTATTACCAATATTAATTTGATTTAGAGCAACCGAATTGGCCGTGTGATGCAGTTCATTTGGAACAACAGTTCATTTGTTGGAGTTTTGCTTCGGGCCAATTGTATAATCAACACCATACAATTTGGCATGTCATCATTCAATTCTCTATTTCTATCGAATCAAAACTGAAATTACTCTCTCACTCTCTGCTGTTACTTTTTTTCTGTGATTCAATATCGGTTTTGATTTTTTGATCATTCGTTTTGGTTTCTTGTTTTGCCGCATCGCATCTGCTGTACGTGGATTATTGTCTGACTGTCGATGAAAAATACCAAACAAAATTAAGCTGCAATGGTGGAAGATTAACGCAGGAAGAGTTTCGTTTTCGTTTGAATGGGGTGATATATACTGATGGCGTTGTTGTGTGTGTGTGCAAACAACTTGATTTGCCAATGCCATTTGATAAACCGAGAGAGGCAGCGCGACACAAAGCGATGCAGAGAAGAAACAAAAAAAAACATATTGATGCGTCTGAACTGGGTATATATGCGAGCTGAGCTGTTGAGACGGAGATCATATTTTTTTTTCTATTTTCGTTAGCCAGTTTTCGAGTGTTGTAACACCGCTTCAGACAGACGCCCAGAGCCTATTTAAGACGCAGCTTGTTACTCGAACAATTTAGTTTGGTTTCGTTTGTTTCCCGATCATATCAATTCGTGAATCCTCCGACGATCAAGTCAACAGGTACACCGACTTGATACTGTATACTCTTATTAGATCTGTCCTTTTGTGAAAATCGAAAATCAGGTGTTGTGTGGGTAGATGTTTAGAAAAATTGTGTTTTTTCTTCTTATTCTAATGTGAATGTCCTTTGAAAATGGATGAAAAAATGTACAATTTGATCATTTTTAGAAAGTTTTTTTTGAATAATTTTTCAAAGGCGATTTAAACGATATTACTACGAATTGTCCATGCTTAAAAAATTGATTGGTTTTCAACCAGCCGAAAAAAAACTACGAGTCATGAAAAAGGATATAAAATCGATACAAATTGAGTTGTCCCCAAAAAAACAAATGTGAAACGAAAACAACTTAAAAAATTCGTCTACGATTATATTCACGAATTCAATCGGTTTCATTTACGGATATACGGAAAATGATAAATGGTCGGAATGAGTGATTCATCGACGACATTTCCACAAAAGCTTATTGTGGAACGAAAATAAATAAATCGCTTTTATTAGTGTTTAGCTAACCACAATTTCCTCAATTCATTTGATTAACGACGATTTATTTAAAATCGCTTCAACTTGGCAGAAACTGAAGGAGAACAGAAACAAAAAGTAAAAGTGCAATACTTCATAGCGTCAAATTGCGCATACTTAAAGCAAAAGTTTTGGTGCTAAAACGCTTCAACTTCAACTTTTAATTAATTTTCTGCAATAAAGTGACATAATAACCACGAACGGTGTCTTCTTCAGCTGTCGCAGCCGCTTATTGCACACAATTGTGTTTTCGATGTAAACACACATTCACAAGTATGACAAATGCTCATACATGCCAATAATAATTCGTGACGTATTTTTTTCTGCATTTCGTTAAAATGTACACGAAAAACAAACAACGACAAGCGATGAAAATGGAGGTGTACATGATGATGCACATACATGGGTGCATCTCGGCAAAAATTTGCATGGGAAGAGGTCAACTTTTCGTTTGGCATTTAAGTGTGTTTGCTTGTTTTCTAATTCGTGCCAGCTCATTTCAATCGAATGAAGAAGAATTATTCGACTGACTGACCGATCTAGCCACACAATTTATTGTTATTATTTATCGCATTGAACGGAGCTGCACTGAGCCGAATCGAGCCGAGGATGGAAATAACTGGTTTGATGACAATGCAATCACACACACAGCGCTTTTTTCATATTACCTAATGCATAAAAAATGTCGCTTTATTTAGATGGACAAGCGTAAAATCGACTCATATTTTTCTGTGCACCTCAACATGACCTTACATAATCTCAAGATTTGTTTGTTTATTCGCTTAACTATTATCCACATGGTTTCCGCCATTGTGTAAACTCATTAAGTACAACGTGGAAATGGAACATCTTCAGGAATTAATCAGCGAATGACCATTTTATGCCAAGTTGTAAATGAGTTTTTCGAAATAAACATGAAATATTTTGCAAATAATTTTTACATATAAAATCATATGTATATTTGTTGTTGAACCAAATGACATCTACAGCCTAAATCACATATTAATTAAAATGTGCCAATTTTTGGCAGCTTTTTAAATTAAATGAATTGATTTCAATTTCAGTTAACACAATTTCAAAAAAAAAAACTAAATGACGCTAGATCATTCATTTTGAATGAAAGTCAGTCAACATTAGGATGTCTTTAGCTACAATACTAGCCATTTGGGTAGCATTAACTGCCCATTTTAGTGTGAGTATCATAATTGATTTCCATTGAAAGCCATCTGTTTTAAATTTGTTAGCAATCGTACAAGGTCTTTCAATTTCGTTTTAAAGGTTTTATCAAATGCTGCGCATTTGCCATCGAATGCATTGGCATTGCGAAACTCGGAGAATAGAATAAAAATCGAATTGATCGATGTAAAGTGTGACAAAAATGAAAATGGAATGCATGTGACCATTCAGTTCTCGCAACCATTCGAGGGAATTATTTACAGTCAGGGTTATTTCAATGATCCTAAGTGCAGGTATTTGAGTTGCTTGATTCGATTTGAAAAAATAGAAGAAAGAAAAAACAAAAAGGAAAAAAGGAGAAAAAATTGATGTTTCCATTTCCCTTCGACTATAGATACGTATCTGCGGGTGAGGGTGATCAGTCATACAATTTTGTAGTGCCATTCGAGGGATGCGGTAGCAAGCCATCGTGTGCAATTTGTGATTCAGTTGATAATATTTTGGTCATTCAGCAAGACGAAGAGGTGCAAGGTGAATTCGATGCAGCGCGTAAAATATCGTGTAGTCGAACGGGCGTCGAAGAGGAGAAAAAAGTCTACTTCAAACCGTTTATTGTACAAAATTTGGATGTGATCACGGTGCCAACTAAACATGGAGGTGTTGATTGTTGGATGGACATTCAGCGTGGTATTTATCCAAAACTGACACCAATCGGTGAGGTGATCAAAATTGGAGAAGAACTCACAGTATTGGTCTATTTGCGTGATCCGAAGAAAGAATACGATTTAACCGTTCGGAATTGTTGGGCTTACGATAGCGAAGACTTTGATGACAAGAAAACGGGCAAAGTTCAACTGTCTGATTCATCTGGTTGCACAATGTATGTCACATTTTACACTTTCTCATCAACCGACACGTCATGTCATTTGCCAATAAACTCAAATTGATTGTTTACAGTAAACGGAAGCTTTTTGGTTCTTGGCATAAAACCGATGAAACCGGTTCATCAGACGCAACACTACAGTTGTATAACACCTTAAGAGCGTTCAAATTTCCGGATGAGTCTCAAATTTATCTCAAATGTGATATTGAAGTGAGTATACGTTACGTAATTTAAAAGAAAAACAACAAATTTTTTTTATTTATTTGAAGATTTGCCGTGGAAATTGCGTTGAGGCAATATGTGATGCAGATGATATTAACAAAGTGGACATAAACGGAGCTGATATAAATAAAGTCGATTGTACATTGGATCCACTGCATGAAAAATGCATTCGAAATAAATTCATCGAAAGAGGTGGATTTACGACGATAGCAAACCAACCACATCAATCCGCGAGCACATCAAAAGTAACGGCACGCGTACCTTTCAATGATAACTCAAGGCGTCCAAGTTTCATTTATACAACCACACAACGTGCGAATTATGTATCAACAACTCTTCCGGACGAATTTACAACAACGCTAAAGCCATTGGTGTGTACTCCCAACTCACAAGATATTCGATGCATTCAACAGCAATATGCTGAAAACACCGTAGGAGCTGAGACAACCACTTTAAGAGAAACTGCAACCTATCAAAACTTATTAAAAACTACAACACTTAAACCGGGCTATGATTCATTCTGTAGTCTTTATCCAAAGCATAAACGTTGCAATCAACGTGTAACTGACGATTTCGGTAGTAATCTGGAAATTTTAACTTTTAAACCACCATCTCCGTTTGCAACGGTCAAATATCAACCGACTACGGAAATTCCAAGTCGAAATTTGAAATATGCGTCAACGACAGAAACTACGGCAATAACTGAGCAACCGTTAAATTGTAATGGGCTATATCTGGATCCAAGATGTCCAAATCCAAAGTATACGGGCTCACCACCCACTTACTTGCCACCAAGCCCGACCAAACAAGTAGTGGTTCCGACGTTTGCACCGCGTTGCTATCCGGGCTCACTTGATCCACGATGCCCGAAAATTGACATCTCAACATCACCTGCAGTCAAACCAACGACAACGCCACCCATTACAACGACGCCGAAGAAGTTTGTTATATGCGTTCCAGATGCTGCCGATGATATAAATTGCGATGATGAATCGTCGAAAGTCACCGAAGAACCACCTGCTGAAAAAATAACCACTCCGCCGCGCAATCAATTGGGAACGACAAAACAACCGGAAAAACCAGTCTGCTACTTTGGCTCAACGAACCCAGAATGTCAAAAAGTTTCAACGCAAATTATAACATTTAAGCCAAGGCCAACCACGACTTCAATTCCACCCACAACAACGACAACAACAACGACAAAGCCATTTATTAGCACAACTCGAGCACCAATCTGCTATCCAGGTTCGCTTGACTCGCGTTGCGTTCAACCAACGAAGAGTGTGTATGTATCATTCGGAACAGAGTCAGGATTATCTACTGAACCTACAATTCCATCGACTCCGGCAGTTCCGAGCACAACGCGCGCACCCATTTGTTATCCCGGTTCAATTGATCCGAGATGCCCGAAACAAACAACTACAAAAAAGATTATTCCAGAGATTGTCACCACACGAAAGGTAGCTACTGAGCTTCCGAAGACAACACCTTATATACCGACCACAACCGGTACACCAATTTGCTATTTAGGCTCTCAAGATCCACGCTGTCGACAATCGACCACGAAGAGAGTGTTTGTATCATTCGGAACGGAGTCAGATCTTTCTACTCGACCACAAATTTCATCGACTCCAATAGTTCCAAGCACGACACGCGCTCCAATTTGTTATCCAGGTTCACTTGATCCACGTTGCGTACAGGCTACAACAAAGAAAGTACCAGAGTCATTCGGTACGACCAGACCTCCGGTTTCTTTCCCTCCAACTATTCCGAGCACAACACGAGCACCTATTTGCTATCCGGGCTCACCCGATCCAAGATGCCCAAAAGTAATTACAACTAAAAAAATTATTCCAGAGATTATAACCACACAGAAAGTGATTACTGAGACGCGCGGACCAGTTTGTTACACAGGCGCACTTGACCCGAGATGCCAAAAACCAACTACAGAGAAACAATTCATTCCGTCGATCAGTACCACACAAGAAGTGTCCAGTGAAAAACCAACCGCTAGTACACCTCGATGCTATCCAGGCTCACTCGACCCACGCTGTATACAATCGACAACGAAGGGAGTACTTGTGTCATTTGGAACAGAATCAGGGCTTTCAACTAGACCACCACTCTCCACTCCAGTCATTCCAAGCACAACACGAGCACCTTTTTGCTATCCAGGATCACCTGATCCAAGATGTCGCCAATTTACAACAGAAAATCCAATTATACAGACTACAAAACCAACACCAACATTTAATTTGATCTCAACAACAACAATCAAGCCGCAATTCAGTACAACACAAACACCAGCGAGATGTTATCCAGGTTTTACTTTTTTCAACTGTTTTATTTTTGGATATTCGGTTTCATTTTTCGGATTTCAATGCAATTGAAAAAAAACCGTCAATATTGAAAATGTGTGCCATAAATCTATGTAATACCAAAAACAATGTTCAATTTCAGGTTCGTTAGATCCTCGTTGCTCGTCGAAACAGTTAGTCGTTCCATTGCAATGTGGACCAGGCTCATTAGATCCACGTTGCCCCAATCCAACACCAACCGCTGAGCCTGCAACATATTTGCCTCCAAAACCCACATCGACGTATAATACACAAAGACCACCATTGACTACGACGACAGTACAACCATTTATTTGTACTTCAAACTCATTGGATCCACGTTGTAGATTAGATACAACGCTCAAATTCATTCCAAGTGTCACAACTGAAGGTAAAAATATTTTCCACTCCGAAATTTCCTTTTGAATGCCCCAATCCATAAATTTTCCAAATAAAATTTAATAGAAAGGAAAAATGACACATTTAAATGTATACAATTGCATGACACCCTCTCCAAACAGGAACAACTGCCGCATTTTCACCTGAAACAACGCAAAAAATTGTGCCAACGATAATAATAACTCAGCGACCGACATCCCCAACAACAACAAGGCCTCCATTTAGTTTCCCGTCGTTTACAACGACGATACCAGTGAAAATAAGCACAACAAATCCACCATTGATTTGCTCTCCAAACTCATTCGATGCACGGTGTAGAATTGGTACAACCGTTACTACCGAAGGTAAGATTAATCGTTTTAGTAACCAATTAATACGACTGTTTGGAGTTAATTGGGAATGTGGATGATTCTAATCAATTGATATAATTATTGATTCGGAGTTCATTTCTTATTTTTGTTTCAACAGGAACGATCACCACAGTGTCGCCCGAAACGATAACAAGATTTGTGCCGTCAGTAACAACAACAACACTTACACAAGGGCCAACATACACCACAACTACAAGACCTCCATTCAGTTTTCCTACCTTTACAACACGGCCACCAACTAGAATCAGCACGACAATTCCACCTTTAATCTGTACTCCCAACTCATTGGATCCACGGTGTAGAATAGACACAACAACAAAAGCTATTCAAACTGATATCACAAGTAAAATTATTTGACCAACTCTGAAGAATTAAAATTGTGAGAAATTGATCAATTTATTTGAATTCTCACAGGTTCAACAACTACTCCTGCCCCTGAAACAACTGCAAAAGTGGTTCCAACGACAACACAAAGGCCAACATACACAACAACTACAAGATCTCCGTTCACCTTCCCAACATTCTCAACGAGACGAATAATTTCTTCACCACAACCATTCACTACTCGACCAACGACTAAACCCACGTCTACGACAACTGAAAGTGTTCTTTGCTATCCAGGTAAAAAGCTTTTATTTCAAGCAACGAGAGTGCAATTCCTAAATTGACAATAAAACTGCGATTTTTTTTAAAAATTCGCTATTCTTTTTAAGATGCAGAATTTGAATTTTTCGTTCAAAATGTGAAATAAATAATGTTGATATTTTTTAGGCTCAACGATTGAAGGATGTAAGAACACATTCACAACACCCGCCTATTGTTTCCCTGGCTCAAAAGATCCACGCTGTCCACAATTACCACCATCATTCAGTACGCGACAACCGTCAACGTATTTGCCACCATTCCCTGATGTCAGATTGAATCGAGTCAGACGCCAAACTTCAGTCGAAAACGAACCAACGCATGAAATTGTGAAATTTTCACTTTCATTCAAACCATTCAATTTTAGTTAAAACCCTTTGCTACATATGCCCATTTGTATAAGAATTTTCGAACAAAAAATAATGCAAAAACGTCTGAGTTAATTAAGTTTTTGATGCCATATTCTATTCTGCCTTATTTAGATTACCGCAATTTTCGATGAAAGTGCTTTGAGTAATTTAAATCGATTGATAAAACGAATAATGAAAAGATATTATAAATTAACGTTGTTTTTTCTCTTTCAAAAGTCTCTGCTTCGGTTTTGGTAATTGTGAATGGTTCACAAATGCAGATAGTGTGAAAACTATTCAAATGTTCATGAATATTCTGAATGATTGAATTGATCGAAAGTTTTAATACGAAAATTTAAAATATGACAAATTAATTGACTGTTCGATACTGGATAGTATCGAGCTAGCTAGACTTGAGCAAGCGGCTCTGTACGAGAAACTGCAGAAGGCACATAAAGACACAAGTAACCACGCATCCATCATCGGTCCACCAACAAACGAACAATATCATTCCACACGATAAACTTAGAAGCTCAATCGGTGCCTGAATTTCATGTCGCTTTACTTTTCATTCTGACACAATATTGCCAATGGAGCATACATAATACCATTCACCATAACCAATGAGTTCCGTAGCTTTTTCTGGGATTTCTTATCCAATTTGACAAAAATGAAACCGGAACATTTTTCGATACCGCTCTTGAGGTATTTGAAATTACCACGCTTTCGATCTGTCAAATCGGTAGTGCTGTTTATTGAGTTACTTCTCCACTGTTTTATGTTTACATGGTATGGTATACACCACATCGGTATAGAGCCCATCTTGCAATACTAAATGCTATTTGAACTATGACAGATACGGTTTAATATATATAATAAGCAAACGTTCAATGAAATGTTTGAAGAATTATTCGAATTTGGTGGAATAAAAACAAAAAAAGTTTAGTTTGAAATAAATAAACAAAGCTGCAACGTTAGTAGAAAATAAGTATCATATTCTCAAGTTTTAAAATCGTTTGACAGTACAAAATTTCATAATTCTTTTCTATCGTTTGTCTGTAGTGATATCTAAAATGGAAGGATCAACACCTAATGATGAACGGAAGGACGAAGTGATAATAGATGATGCAGATATCGAGCAAAGGAGAGTAGAGAACGTCGTTCAATCGAATAACACAACAAAAATTACAGACGTTAATCAATTTTGTTTGGAGGAAATTTGCACGTACTTAGATTTGGTGGACCTTCTCAATGTGGCCAATACAAACAAATATCTACAGCTTGCAACCCATTCACCTTTCACTCGACTAAATACAAGGAAAACCATTGACATCTGGCTAAGCTATGATTGTTCTGATGGAGAAGATGAAAATCGATTTCAATACCATATTTCGAACGCGAAAATCACCAATGACAAGACAACAATAATTATCGCAGATTTCAAAACTGCTTTGCAAATGTTACGCTGCTTTGGCCATATGTTCGTTAACATTAGTTTATTGTATCGTAACGAATGTCATAATTCTCAAAGACTCAATCGCCTCATGAGCTATATAAATGAGTTTTGTGCCGAGTCCTTGATTAAAATTGAAATGAGCACCATGTTCACCCATCTTCCTCATGAAGAATTCAAGAAACCTTTTACCAACATTGAATCAGTCATATTGAAGGATTCTTCATTAGGTGATTGCAATATGAGAATAATATTTCCAAAATTACGTCGCTTAATTTGTTCAAGAAACTGCAATCCTAGATCTATTACACCGGTGGTGCTTTCTTCAAATTTGGAACATTTGGAATTTAGTAATTTTTATGCACAACATATAGATGAGAATAAACAAACGATCGCTGATATATTGCGTTTGAACCCGCAGTTACGAAGTTTAACAATAGAATTTCTTGAATTTGATGTTTTAAGATTCATTGCCAAATACCTTCAGTCTGTCGAAAGTCTATATATTCTTACAAAGAGTAGTTATCACAGAGGAGATTTGATACGGTTTTCGAATGTAAAATGTTTGACTGTACATGTTTCTGGTGTGGGAAATATGAATTTCCCTCTATTAGTAAACCAATTGAAGGAGTTCACCATAGAAGGTGATTGTAGATGGCATGATTTTATCGTCTTCATCAAGAGACATCAATCCATAGAAAAAATTACTATTAAAACTATGAAATTGATAAGATTCGCTTTCAAACTTATGAAAGCCTTACCCACGTTACAAAGTATTAATATCATACCAGAAATTGGTGGCGAAGAACTGACACTCGATATCATAATGGGATACTTGCCCATATTCAGGCATTTGCCAAGTTTTAATTTTAGAGCTGATAATAATTATATAATCTCTGAAGATAGTATTAGAAAATATTGTAGCGAAGAGTGGCATGTAACTTGCGTTAAAGTTGGTATGTTTAACTACTTTACATTAAGACCCATCGAAGAGACTGTTTGACTTTGAGCACGTTTGGCTTTGTTTAGAAAATGCTCCAAATAAAAAAATTCATTTTATTCCTATGTATTTGGGTTCAAAATAAAAATTATGCATAAAAAAAGATGATTTCCCCTGAATACAAATGTTGAATGTTCCATATAAATTTTTACCTAAAAAATTTACAAGCAAAGATGTACGTTTCCCACAAACACGGTGGAAAAAAAGTGAAGTAAATGAGAATGAAGCCACACTCAGTGGAGAATGTATGGGTGGTTCCAACTATTTTAGATGCACCATTAGTTACTCAAAGAAATAGCACCATAATATTCCACAGAGTAGTTGGTAAAAACAGAAACTCTCTAAAACTAAAGAACACCTTTCGAAAAAATTCCCGCCATAAATGTGAGCGAGCCTCGGATTGACAGTTCGTTTGGTATGTATTTTATGTGAGCAGAGTATATTGAACAGCTGTCAAAGTTTCAGCCGTGTTTAGAGTCGTATTGTTGTGTTTATTATTGTGTTCATAATTTATTATCGTGTTGGTTTTAATTAAGTAACAGAATTTGAAAATTGTATCAAATGTATCCAAACGGCAAGTTGTGATAAATTTAATCTCAGAAATTAGCCATCAAATCGAACCGGCTACATTTTAGTTGTGTAACAGAAGCAGATAACAATAACAGCCGGAACCAATTGAGTTTTCTTGAGACTAATGTTTTTAAATAAAAAATAAATATGAATCGATTAAAATGGTTCACTGGACTACAGAAGGTAGAAATAGTTTTTTCTTGATGTGAGACGAAACAGACGTGATATCGGTAGATAAACATTTTCCATAACAAGATAGAAACAATATGTAATAAAAGACCGCATATGACATTACGGACTGACCTTGAATATGTGCTGACGATTCAAGACGTTCGCAATGCCATCTATACGACAAATGTCGAATCAATTGTTGATTCATAACAAACAGCTTGAATGATGATTTCGATCAAATGATAATTTCGATTTGAAAGAATGTTGAAATTGCACCAATGCTAACACAGCAACATTTGTATATTCAAATGGCGCGTGAATCATGATTATTCTTTTCTCTCTGTCTTATGCTCTGCACGCATAATTTATCCATTCGTTTCTGCCGCAAACAATAGCCAACGCGTAGTCGCGTGTTCTGTGTGTATTTTGTGTGCAAAACCCATACACACTCAAAGCAAATCACAGCGGCTTAGTAGCCATAAACAAACACTTGTTAGATACATATTACGTCTATTGTTGTTTGATCTTATTCCACACTATGTGCACTTCTGTCTGTGTCTGCGTTTCAGAATCATGCCGCAAGCAATTTTGGTTACTTTTTTCCCCCGTTCAAAACTTTGATTTATATTGGTCTGACTTCAGTTAGTTACGATAGCTCGCTTACATCGTGTCGATAAAACTACGCTATCGGTTTGTGCACGTGGTGACGCATTACACATTGGATTTGAAACGAATTGACGGTGAGTGATTGTGTGAATGAAGTGGTACTTGAATCGAATGCATTGCATCATGTGAATTGTAGATTGTAATTGATTTAAAATCGCATCCTGACTTGGATTAAAGCATTTTTTTTCTTCAATAAATCAAGCCGATCATTTTCGAAGATATCACTTGAACTTGATTCGTACTTCCGCTGAGTTCATTGCCTACGGTTTTTTGTGGGTTTTATAATTGTGTTGACGCTTGTTGTATCTTGGTGCTTTGAATTATTCGCTGCGAAGATGTATTTTGTGTGGCACGTGTGTGTGTGTGAACTGAAATCGAATCCAACGTCATGATTTACGCCATTCGCTGGAACGTCCGCTATTTGCCGCTTAATTTATATTCAATAAATGATAGAAAGGGCATTGGCAACTGGATTCGAGTTTAATTCCGAAAACAAAATGTGTAACCCTTGATACGTTGATTTTCGTCGGCCTGCCAAAAAATGTGACGCAGTTTTTTGCCTCCAATTTTTGGTCGAAAGTGGTTGGTGCCCGAAAATTTTCCTAACATGTTATGCTAACACTGACCGACTTTTTTCACTATTTGAAGGCAAATACGTCTATCTCTCGACTCTAAAACGTGCACAACGTTTCAGGTACATCAAAATATTTTGCCTCTGCGAGACAGAGCGAGCGAATGACAGAGATTAAAATTTTCTGGCAGGAATTTTATTTAGTTATCAATTGAACATTTTTCCATGGCAACTTTTATTTAATGCTGTCATGTGCATCGGCTGAGAAGAAATTGTGATAAGGCGCTGTGGCTGTAAATAAACCAAATAGTTGTTTATTAACGACCACAAACCGTATTCGATGGGGGCATTTCGTATCGCTTGCGTCATTGCACCCAAGGAAGTTTATACAAAAAATATAGGGCGCTTTTGCAAAAATAGAAGCAAAATTACTTGCAAAGGTCCGAAATGGTTGACAGACTGCGATATCATGTCTTCTAATTAAATTCTCTCCTTTTTTTGTGCGATTGAAATGCTCACCAGCAAGGCACACTGGCATCCATCTCACTGATTCGACGCTCAAGTTTTTTTTGTCGTTTTCTGATAACTCAAATCGCATAAGCAATAACAATTTAAAGTAGATTAACGAACAGCATGATTGTAAGACGCGCACTTTCGTTTGAGAATATGAAGAAAACAAATTTGAATAATATTTATTTAATTTCACGAGCTCGTGATAATGCATTGCAATTGAATGTTTATACATTCCATGTTGTCGACGATTTTCAACACTCATGCAGCAATCGATTTGAAAAAAGGCGCTTTGCGAGATGAATTGCAGTAGATTACTTACGTTTTTGTTTATATTGATTCGTTTGATGTAGTTGATGAAAATTTTTAAATTTTTTCAACAAATTGTTTACAATTTCTTCCAAAAAATATTGACCCTAGTCGATTTATCGTCATCAAAAATTAAGAAACCACAATGTGTACACTGTACATTATAGAGAGTGTTTACAGAGGACACATGTCCAATAGCCTCAACTTAGCGGGTATTCAATGAAACATGTGCGTTGACTCGAGACTCAATTAGCATTCTTATCAACGAGAGCCCTTACAATAATATTTGCCAAAGAATTGTTTGACTTCTTATTGGAAAAAACAGCAAATGCCAATTCCCATGTGCTGCTATCAAAACGGCATGAACTCTCGTAAAATTGGCCTGACCTGTTGCGCGAACTTGTTCCATATTTATTGGTGTTATTATTGTGCAAATTAATCGAAATATTTTCAACAGCAAAGATGACGATAATTAGTTCGCGTTTGTGTGACGCAGATCAATGCTCTGAAGCGACAATAAAATCGGCTGATCGCACGAGGAACTTTGTTTTTCGTTGCCCCACCGAGAGAGAAAATTTATTGCCATTATCGCGAATTTATAAATAGTTTCGCCTCGCTGCTCGCTGTGAACTGCATTTTCAATTTAATCGATTTAAGGAATTTCCTATGGAATATTATCAAGAGGTTATTTGATGAAATATGAGAATTTTCCATTGTTTTGTTTGTTTCGAAGTAAGATGAAAAGTAGAGCAGACACTCATTTGCTTCGTGTATTTCAATCGTCTTTGTTAGTGGTCCCGACAAACATCCCGATCAGATGATGAAATTTAAATGTAAATTTAGTTTGGATTTTAAGAGTCTTAAATTAAGACCACTGCTCAATTAGAGCGACAATAACATCGAAACATTAGAGAAAACGTGTTGAGAAAGCACATGACAGACATAGTAAGAGACTTTATTACTTGACGATTTAAAATTCTATTAACAAACACCAAATGAGCAAAAAAATAATTGATTACGATTTACTTTGTTTTATGTGACGTTTGTTGCTTTTTTTAATCTTCTGACGCGCATTCTTTCTTTCTCATACGGCGCTTACTACACGTTCAATCTGAGGTTATCTGCATGTGCATCACAACACAATTGTGCTACATTCGACAATTTTTCGTTTGCAAATGATGTGTGCTGATAAGAATTTGGTGCTGAATGTACGGCACGAGCAGAGAGTAAAAAGGGCGGCCGTCGAAGCGAATGTTATCAGTTTATTCGAACGTTTGCCACTGTACACAACGCTTCCACTAGTGGATCGAATCCAACATAAATACACCGAATTAATCGAGAAACATACCAAAGAACCGATTCACTTAAAACAAAACAAACGTGTTTGTCACAAATTATCCGCCAATTTTAATTCATTTCCTTCGGAAATTAGTCAACGTTTTACATTTGGTGCATTCAAGCGAAAAATTCATAGCAAAATGAAAGACTTAGTCAACGGAAAAATTTTAATCGAAAATGCCGAGGATTTGATTGTGGATCAAAAGTATGCCTACAGCAATGGCCACAGGTAATTGAACTTAGGGAACATTTCAACGGATGTTATAAATCGACTATCAAGTGAAGTGATTCAACTTTTTTTTTCGTCAGTGGCTACCACATGAGTACCATTGGAGTAATAAAATGAATGAATGAATATCAGAAAAAAAATTGATGCAAAAAAGATCAAAAAATGATAAAGAAATCGAAGCGGAAAAAACAAATTAATCAAATTTCGAGAAAAAAACAAATTGAGAAATTTCCTGTTGTATTCCATTCACAGCAAAAACAAAGGTGTTGAAAAAATGGCCAAATTAATCAATGGATTGGAGATTGCCAAAGAAATCAGACAAGAGCTGAAACAGCACATTATTGAATGGGAGAGTGAAGGACACCGAGCACCACATTTGACAGCTGTTTTGATTGGAGACGACCCGGCCAGTCATACTTATGTCAACAACAAGATTAAGGTTCGATTAATTGCTATTATCTCTCGTATTTTTCGTTGTATTTTTTTTTTTCTTCAATTTTTTGACATAAGTTAATCAAATTGATACCAATTTATATAGGCCGCTGCTGAAGTAGGAATTTCAAGTGAAACAAAACGTTTTCCATCAACGATCACGGAAACCGATTTGTTGAACTTGATCGCCGAGTTGAATGAAGACGATCGCGTGGATGGTATTTTGGTACAATTGCCATTGCCATCGCATATCAACGAGCGAAACATCTGCGATGCTGTTTGCTGTAACAAAGATGTGGACGGTTTCAATGAGAAGAATGTGGGTCGTTTGTGTTTGGACATAAATTCATTGATTCCATGCACGGCTCTTGGTGTGCAAGAATTGATCAAACGATCAAACATTGACACCTTTGGCAAAAATGCCGTCGTCGTTGGTCGTTCAAAGAATGTTGGTTTGCCGATTTTCATGTTGCTGCACGCCGATGGCAGAAATGAAACTGGTGCTATGGATGCCACAGTGACAATGTGCCATCGGTTTACACCACCTGAACAATTGAAGGTGTTCTGTCGTCATGCTGATATTATTGTCACAGCGACGGGTATTCCAAAACTCATCACCGCCGATATGGTGAAGGAAGGAGCTGCAATCATTGATGTTGGCATCACTCGGGTCATAGATGAAAAAACTGGCAAACCAAAACTTGTCGGCGATGTTGATTTTGAAGGTAAGATTCATTCATGGTTTGGAATGCAGTGATTGCTATATCGCTCTCAGCATCTCATAGGATAACTGAACGAGATAATTCAGCTGGCTGAGATGACGCAGCGACGCATCGCCCGAGTCTGTGCGATACACATACACACAATGCGCCCAGCGGTATCCGTATACACTCAGTCCCATTTAGTGACGCGCGGCATCGAATTGTGTGTGTGCATCACAAAGACTCGGGCGATAGACTTGGGCGATGCGTCGCTGCGTCATCTCAGCTAGCTGAATTATCTCGTTCAGTTCATCCTATGAGATGCTGAGAGCGATATAGCAATCACTGTTGGAATGTGATTCGGTTTTTGCTTCCAATTTTGTTTGAATCAAATTTTTCATTTGATTTTTTGTTCTTTGCCATTTCAGAGGTGCGTAAAGTAGCCGGACACATTACTCCAGTACCAGGCGGCGTTGGACCAATGACAGTTACCATGCTGATGCGAAACACTTTTGTTGCTGCCAAAAATCTAGCGAAATTACGCACAAGTCGAAATGGTCACGCTGAAAATTGAGGCCCCTACATATAGTGTATATCCACTTTAAAGCGCTAGACTTTTAATTTTAATTTGCATTTTTTTTTCTACTGAACCAACGTCATTTGTTTGTTTCAATATGCTGAGCATTGTAAATCGAACCGATAATGACTTTTATATCACTTTTTTACAGTGAAAAAAAGTATTCTAGTTTTTAAGTCTGAATTTAACTCATTACATTATTTTGATGTATGCTTTTTTGTAATAAATTGATTTGGTTGGATTGATACCGAATGAAACTCAGATGCGTTTTCTCATCCAATTTTTGAAATTCTTTGGAACATCTTTGTTTTTACACATTTTTGAAAGAAAAATAAAATGATAAATCCAAAAAGAAGCCTAAAGTTGCGATAGGAGTTTTTTCGCGCTCACTTGTAATGATGTCAGCTTTACTGGACGTTTTTTTTGTTGGAATTTATTCTTTATTTCTTTAAATTATGACAAAAACAAAATCATTCAATACAAATGTTCGATTTTAAATGGAATCATGTTTCAATAAAAACGAGAACAATCGTTCTATTATTTATTGAGCTGTGACCAAATCGAATGTAAAAACAATCAAATCAGACGACTCTGAACAATTTCTTATGAATATGAACAATGCCAGAGATTTGTGCGAGTATGTTTTCAACATCGGGATTGAGTCTATCATGAGCTGCGATGTCCGAGTGGTTAAGGAGATGGACTCGAAATCCATTGGGCTCTGCCCGCACAGGTTCAAATCCTGTTCGCAGCGAACTCTTTTTTTTATGCCGTCGTCTGAAGCCATTTGACTTCGACGTCGATCCACCTATTTTGCGTCAAATATCAGTGGCAAAAAATTTATTTTAAAATAAGAAAAAAGTTTTTCATTCGTTTGTTGTCAATTCAATGCTAAGAAGAATAGAGTTGGAAAAGCATGAAAAAAATATTTCATGATCGAGCGCATGTTGCTCCTGAATTTTCCATGAAAAATGTATCTTTTCAAATGGAACCACATTTTTCTTCATTTTATCATTTCATTTGGTTTCTTACTACAAAAAAAAAATCGTGATAACAGATTGTCGCTGTTGAACAAAACAAAACATGGATTGAATGAGCGAAAAAAAAAACACCAGGCGTCCTCCATCACTTCGTTGAGTTTGATTATATATGTTTTGCCTCCGCCGAAAATACTTTTTGGACAGAACATAAAACACACAACAACCACCATCATCACAGTAGCTACGGTGAATTTGCGCGGTCGCTACACACCGACGATAAATATTGTCACTGTGTTTGTGCAATGTTTGAATGGCTAATTTGGTCAATTGCTTTGGTGCACAGTTCGATCGAATACACGCTCAAATGACGCTTACCGACTCTCCGCACAATCCAAGTGGATGGGCTTGAGTGTGTGTGTGTGCGCATGTATTGGTACGCTGTGTTCTACGCAGCATATAGATAATCATACACGCATACAATCGTTGGTTCGTGCATAATATGGAAAACGCTTCAAGAATTTGTAAACTTCGTTGAGCGCTTCAGTTGCAAACCGTTCTCAAATAGAGAAACATCTGGGTAAACTAAGAGGTCACACCATTTGTGAGTGAGTGATTTTTACCATCTTATTTTACCATCGACACATCACTCGGTTGAAAATTGAGTCTACATAAATACCATCAATGGCTGACTCCGAAAAAGTCCAAGACCAACAACAACAATTGAAAAAGATATCCCATTCGAGTATCGTCCGTTCGGATGGTGTAAATGGCGAATCGACACCCGACTCCGTCATTCAACCAAAAACAACGATCGGTGAGTAAAAATTTTGAAATCATAGCATGTTGTGCATCGTATTCTGAACCCTTTTTTAATGCCGCAATCCATTTAAAAACAAATGTCATTGTAAAATGTTCGGTTCATGTTAAATTGCGGTTCGATTGAAGCAAAGTGAAAATTCTAATTAAATTAAAATCGTTTATTGTTTTGCCGAATGCGTCTCCGGTATGCATACATGTATATATATATGCATAGAACGCATCAGCAATTGTCTGTGTTTGTGACTAGATTTCATTCACCTTCGCGAATCATTCGGTTTCATGCCTTTTTAAGTGCTCAATTCAACGCGCACCGTTCCCAGACATATTTTTTTTCTTCAAAACGAATGAAGAACAGCAGAGTCGCATTTGTATCGGCCGTGATTGATAGAGCGATTTTAATGAATTTCGTTAATTCATTGGTGAATAAAAATAATTGCCAAGAACAAAACAAGCATAAAAATATCGAAGCCATTTTGTTTGTATAATTAATGCCATATATATGTATATGGTGTGTGGAGAGCAATAAGACAGAAGGAAAAAAACGCGAGATGTGAAAACAAGGCAGTGAAAAAAAGCAGGCTATACACATTGTGTGAGAACGAGCAATGGTACGCCGTACATTGCATGTGTATGTACGCATGAGCGGTATTGCGCACGGCTTACATGCTCTCTTTGTTTTGTCGACACGAACAAGTTTTCAATGTTAAAACGCTTCTTCTTATCCCATATTTATGTATACATTGCACTGAGACAGCAGTAGCACCAGCAGCAGCAGTAGCGCAGGAAAAAGAAAAACAAACCACTATAACAGTGGTTGAGAGTATATTGTTTATGTTTTGCACGTCATCCGTGTTAGCGTAATATTGTTGCTTGTTGCCGGCAAAAAAAAAGTTGTTCTCAAACCGCGAGACGGTTAAGTGTGATTGAGCAATAGTTGTAATTTGGAATTAATTTTTCTAATTCTTTTTGTTTAGCCGAAAAAGTCACTGGAACTGTCAAGTGGTTCAATGTAAAGAGTGGCTATGGTTTCATCAACCGCAACGATACCAAGGAAGATGTATTCGTGCATCAGACTGCTATCATTAAGAACAATCCAAAGAAAGCGGTGCGATCGGTTGGAGACGGCGAGGTTGTAGAATTCGATGTTGTCTTGGGCGACAAAGGAAACGAAGCCGCCAATGTAACTGGACCTGATGGAGAAGCGGTAAGACAAAATTGACATATAATTGCGTGCAATTAACATACACCGCCTCTCTCTCTCTCTATTTCTCTCTCTCTCTCTCTCTCTCTCTCTCTCAATTTATATCAATTTTAAATGGACAATTTATCACCTTTGTTCCCTTTTGCATACAGGTTCGCGGCAGCCCATTTGCTGCGGATAAAAGACGTGGATTCCGTTTGTGGCGACAGAGAGCACGTCGCCGCACAAATAAATCGGAAGGCAGTGCCAATGAGAACGGCACCAACGACGAGAATCCAGAAGGCAATGGTGAAGAGGGAAAGGTGTGTGAACTGAACAAAAAAAGAGAATTTTTTTTCGATCCGAACAAAATTCTGAAAAATAAAACGAGCGAGAGAAATAATAATGATTTGGTTTTTCTATACAGCAACGACGATTCCGACCACGTCGTAACAATCGCTTTGGTGGTCGCAACAACAACCGAGGGCCACGACCACAAGGGCAGGACGGTGAAGAGTCGGGCGAAGGTGGCGAAACGACTGGCGATGACGGTGCTCCGCGAAGTGGCAATTCTGTGGGCAGACGCCGACGCTTCTTCAAGCGAAACTTCCGCCAACGCAAATCGGGCAACGACAACGGTGGTGGCGATGGTGGAGATCAAAAGGATGGCGAAAATGGCTCCAACGGTAATGCCAATCGTCGTCCCAGAAAGCCACGCTTCCGCCCACGCAATCGACCAAACAAGAACCGCAGTGGCGATCAGGTAGGAATAACATGAAATATGAACTTAAATCGAACAGTCATTTGAATCGTGATTGAATTATTTTCCAGAATGGTGGAGATGCCCCACAAAATGAATAAACATGACATCGAGAGACATTCACTTTGACAACGCATCACTTGTTGATCAATAAAAATTGATGCGATTGATGCCGTTTTATTTCGTCTCATCGTTTCAATGAATGCAATACCGAACAGAAAAAAAATGAAGAAAAAAAAAACCAACAAAAAAAAAAACGTAATTGATTAGAGTGTGAAGTGTGTGTGCAAAATATCCAATCTAACTGCATTCAATGATTTCAAGATATTCTATAGATTAAGACACCTCTTTCAAGACAAGAACCATCTCATCAAGAATGAAATGGGACTGTTCTGAAAAAAAAATCGATTTAATTGAGACAAAACAAAGGACGACAACAAAAGAAAATCACCTAGTGACTAACGAAAATCGTGTGAAACGTATTAATATAATCTCTCACTTCATAAGGGTAGCTCTGTCGCAACCAAAAAAAAGAAAGATAAATCCATGAAAATGTTGACATTTTTATTTGGTTATTGATTTTGTGATTTGAAACAATTTCATTCCATGAATTTTTTTTTAGATGTTTTGAAAAAACACATATTTATTTTTAGAAATTATTTTTCGGTTTTATTTTTTTTTATTTTTCTAACCCTCTTTTTTCGATCGGAACAATTTTGCCGAGGAAATTTTTTAATTTTATGTTCTTTTTTGTTTTAAAATTTGATAATAAATTTAATTGAAATTTCAAGGCTCGTCAGTGCATTCGACAGCAAACGCATCTAAGGGAGCGCCCTTATTAACTTTAAGTTAATCAGTTTTAATTTGCTAAACAACACAGAATAAGCTCCCTGAACAAGCAAAGAATAAACGAAATAAGTAAAATAACATCAACTACAATTCACGAATCATCCTACTACATGAGGAGTTCTTTTCAATGTACGCATTTTTAGATATACATTTTGGTGTATAGTAAGACCTCAATTCCGATCAAAACTCTATTCCAAATATCGATCGCAATCAAATCAAATACAATACACTCGCGAACATGAACAACATTTATTACAAAACCGCTGACAACTAATTAAATGTAATCTCACATTTTCTGAAGAAAAAACATCCGAAACAAATAAAACATCAACATTCTGTACAACATCAAAATAAAGAAGACGAAACAAGAAAAAGTAAATATTTCGATGCAACGCATTTGAATCGACCATTTAAAACGAAAAAAAAAAAAAAAAAACCAAAAACACTCTTACGATTTACGATCTAAGAACCAATATTTCATGCATACGAAACACAAACATCCAACATTGTTGCATGTTCTACGTCAAACCCATTCGATATAGTATATAAATATACAAACGACATTTGCAACACGACATATACAAACAACCATTGCATAAATTTGTAACAAGAATACGGAAACGGAAACATCAAACACAAACATTTTCCACTTTGAATTGAGAAAATAACAACATTTAACAAAAGAAGAGAACAACAACTGAAAAATGAAATTCAAACAACAGCAAATCGACTTTAAATAAAAAAAAGGTAAATGACAAATATTAAAGAAAACAACACAGGAATAAAAAAAAAGTTTTTGAAATAAAATTATATAGATTGAAGAAAAAAAAATCGAAAAAATGTGGGCGTTTCATTCATTTTTACTTTGTTCGATTTCAATTTTGGTTTCATTTCAACATAAGAATTACTGTATAATGAAGGCAATTATCTTATCATCGACTTAGACAGTTCGAGGCTTGAGCTTTGCACACGATTGAAGAATTAATTTTAGTGCTATTTATCTGGTCATATTCTCTGAAAAATTAATAGAAGCAAATCAAAGGAAATCATATGAAAATCAATGGAACACATTCCAAATCCTTCGAAGGAGTAAAAAATCCAAGAATTGAAAATATTTTCTCTGCAAAAAAAATCTGCGAAAAAATATCCGTTTGCCGTTTATTTCAATACACGGTTTGTGTATAACGAAATTTGACATACAACCGACGACACAAGTGTCAAATAATTGAACTCACCACACTGTCAAATGCTAAAAAAACCACTGCCATCGCGTATCTCACCAAACTGTTGTTATTTACCCATTTGTTAGTGATGTACGTTTCATTTATCGTTCAAGTGGCATTTTGTACATGTGTTTCACAGAAAATGTAATAAAATAAGCTGGTTTCATAAGTTATAATGAAAATCGTGTCAAAATCTATTAGAATTAAACAAAATTTCATACAAATTGACTGAAAGGTCGACAAAGAAATGGCAATCCACAAGACGCGTCACTACGTATGCGGTGGTTGATGCATGCCGCAATACGAAATTATGGTATATATACATAACAAACTATAATAACATAATTGGTGCATTCTTCCGTACGATGATGTGTTCACAAGAAGAATCCCACGAGAACTGAAAATAAAGTATGCAATTGGAGAATTTGTTTAGTTTCCACTTGAAACCCTCGAAAAAAAAATCGGTTTAAAAATGCTCTGTTTTCAAAACAAATTCGATCTTGTTTTGATTTGTGCGTCCGCATGCACATGCACATGCACACGGCATCTCTTTCTGACTTTCTCATGTGTGCGAGCAGTACGCGAAGCTGTCAATGCACACAAACGCATACAAGCGAGTCAACTCTTTGTCTGGATTGTTGTTTTTTCAACGCGTATTTAAGAACTCGAATCAAATTGTCAAACGGCATGCGGACGGCGGGTATGCAGTGTGTGCGATATATAGCCGAAGCGTTGAACGATGATTTCAGTATTTGCAAAATAGTCGTTGCCTACAGACGCCGTGCTTTGTGCGATACGAGTGCGAAGAGTGTGAATTGTGTAGTTGTAGTCACTTCAGTTGTTCATTACTTTGCTCAATATTTGTTTTTTGTTGTTGCCCCAATGACAATTATTCGGTCGTAATATTTTTAAATGCATCTTAGTTAATCTGACGAAACAGAAAGAAAAGAACAATTTCTTTTTACTGCGATCAATGTGCCTTTTTTTGTTAAGTAAGTGAGCAATGTTCCATAACGAATATGCGATAGTTTTTGAAATCAAACAACAACAACAACACAAATTGGCCAAACAATGAAGCGCTTTTTTATATGTTGGAATTATGTGTAAACAGCTACTATCAGCGATAATGTTTGTCAAAACATGTCGGATTTTTCGGTTCGGATTCTCGCTTTGGTTCCGTTTTTTTAATGTACTTATTCGTTCCATTTGTATTCACAAAAAACACAGAATGTGGATCCGAAAGCGTATTATTTGTTGAATCATTTTATTTCGCGCGCGCATACATTCAATTAGATTGTTTCAGCTCCACTATTATTGTGATAATCCATGCGATAAAGCCAGCCTTTTCTGGAGGAAAATTGCGTAATTTAGTGCTGAAACAATGTTTCTCTCTCTCTCTCTGTGTGTTCATCTCTCTCTCTCGTCTGCACCTAGAACAACTCAATTTTCGAGTCATTTTTTACAAATTGAAAAAAATTGAACGTTTAATCTTTGATAAAGAACTAATGAATTAAGCATCATTACAATGCCTTGATAACCATTTTTATCTCGCTTGAAATTATGAATTTTCATATTTGCTAGGCTTATTTTTCAAAATGATCAACCCACACACACAGAGAATAACAAATGAATTATTTAATACGAATTGTTTGATTGCGTGAGATTTTTATTGATCAAATCTGTTGTTCTTTTGTGTGTGGAGAATTTTCAATTTTAGTACGTGCCGTAATCTCAATATTGCCGAGCACTCGGTACAAAATGTTTCATAACGGTTGAATATTGATGAAATATTTTCACGCAAACCCATTTTAAAAAGGTATTGAAGCGCCCATTGCAGTTCATGTATCTACCTGAAGCGCCGAACCAAATCAATATTTACGTTAAATTATTCAAGTGTAGTTTTCGTTTGTTTGGTACGATGACACATTTATTTGCAAATTCAGGTCGGCATAAGCATGTTTGCCGTTTGATTCGGCTTACGTTTATCCACAAACGATAGAATGTTGTTTTTTCTCGAATGCGTTCATTCATTGAAAAAGTTGAACGTACTCATGGTTGCACTTTCGATTTGTTTTCTTCGAATAAACGAACGAAGCGACAGCCGAACGGGCAAAAGCATGCAAATTCGTCGATTTTGAGTGCACTTTTCATGATGCGCGCTTATTTGCATGGAGTCGCTCAAGTTGTGCCCATGCGACACACGGTACTGAAACGCAAATGCATGCAACACACATGGACTTGCACCAATCGAATGAATCATATTTTTCTACTGTACTATTTTTTGCGTCGAAACAATAATAATAATAAGCAAATCTAAGGCAGACACAGCGACGAATTTGATTTTTTTTTTCCTGAGTTAGTCTGGCATTCGGCCAACCACTAAAACTAACTCTTTCGCGGCAATCCCGACTATTTACTCAATCAATTCCGTTACAGTTTATTATAGACGTTTAGTGTAGACAGACACACGTGAATTTTGGCTTTGATAAAACCGAACATGTAAAAATTTCGCTGTTTATTCGAAAAGATAAAATCGCTTTTAACTGTACATCATGCATATTAATTGCTTTTCATGTAAGATTTTGATGATTTTTCGTTGTACGTCTGAAAAAGTGAAAATAAAAACGAATGCTACCAATGTTTCGGTTGGAAACACGTTTATATTCAGGGACAAAAAGGCTTGCAACAATGATTGCATGCATCGATTGAGAGGGTAGGGACAACAATGGGCTTGTTTGATACAATTTCCAATGTCATTTAAGGTTCACATGTACGGTATGTGAGCGTGTGTATGTATAACATGAACAATCATTTCTTGTTTCCTATTAAAATGCACTTCATAATTACGGGCAATCTAGAATGATAATACAAACAAACATACTCATTCATTTCGGAAAACAGATTCTTTAATTAGAACCTTTTTTTTCTCCTAGGATTTTTCGATCAAAAAAAAAAATTCCTATTATTTGTTTTTAATTTGTTTTTTTTTTATGAAACACTCAACAACGCTCTCGCTTGGACTTCCGATGATCAATCATGAGCAGTATAATAACGACGATAGGTAATTATTTATTACATGTGTAGCAGTTAGTGAGCTGACTCTCAACAATTATGCAATTAAAAAATTCGCACAACATCATCACAGCAGCAACGACTTACACCACAACGACACGGATACAGCGTACAAATAAAACAGCGACAAATTAAAACGGTTGTTACTTTTCTGTTGTTTCTCTATTTAATCAATGAATAACCTTGAAGTGAATTGTACAAAGAACACCGCAGTGCAAACAATAAGTTTACGGCGACAAAGAGATTTTGAAGATATTTCAAAGTGAAGCGAATCGAAAACTGTGTACATGGTTTTAAGTTGCAAGAACGAACCAAAAATATCAAGAATATTTAGTGTTTTTGACAAGTTGAGTGATTGAAGCGTGAGTTTTTTTTTTGTGTGGTAAAAACAAATAGGACAGAAAAGCCGAAAACAAAATTAACGATCAACGGACTGCCACGTCGTTGAGTGAGTGTTTGCAGCGACAGAAACTTAATCGAAAACCCACAAAATGACAGTCACATACACAGCCGAAGTTGCAACCTGTAGAGGATTCGGTTGCTTTTTAAAACTGCTTTTCAGGTAAGAAAAAAATTCGATGAATCATACGAGAAGGAAAGAAAAAAAAGATGAAATTCTGAGTTGGATTTCTTAGAAAAGAGTGTGAATAATAATCGAACGATCATCGTGTTGCTTTCCAGTGTAAATATGTAAACAAATTAACAACGTTAGTTTTTCCACTGTTTATACAAAGTAGTAAACTAGATCAAGTACCTTCGTCAAGGTAATCGATTTTTTGGCAAAAAATAAGACGCGTTTTGAATACGGTCAAAATATGGCATTCGATAAGCCATATCGAGGATAAGATTACCGGTTTATCGTTATGTTTTCGAGATAATTGATAAGCATAATCGGTAGAATAAGCGATTCTCATCGCATCTAACCTTAAAATGTCATCCTCTTCTCAATATGAAATGCCAGCTATTTTCCCCATAAATCCACATTTATTCATTCATTCGTTCGGACTGAAGTTCCAAGATAATTGCTCAGTCAACAATGTGTAGTGTACAACACAAGAATCTTATTGTTGTGTCAGACTGGATATTTGACCAAGGTGAACTAACATTGAAACGATGATCTTTCAATTCCAAAAGAGCGCAGGCATTTTTGTTGGCAAAGATCAGAGTTGAAGCAATTTTGTTTTAACCGGCCGGTGTGTTCCGTGAACGCATAAACGCATCGAAGCTTGACTTTAATCCTATTAATGGAATTTATCGCTTCATCACGATGTATTCAATAGAAATTCATCCATAAATTACGTTCAAGCATTTCCCATGTAAAAAAAAAACTCGAATATTTTTCATAAACATTCTCAGCGAAGAATCCGAGGAGTTAAATATAAGCAAAAGGCGTTAATTGCATCTGTAAATCAACTATCACAAATCCGACGATCGAACAATGTAGGTTAAACATTGAAACTAGCTTTTTTGAAATATGACAACATACCGAGAGCTGCGGTCCAGTCAATAAGAGCACGATCAATTTGATCGTTTTCGTTGAATGTGAATGAACTAGCCTTAAAAGCGGAGAAATGACACAATCTTGAACGAGAATTCCGGAAAATATCAACTTAAATTTGCGAAATAAAACGTGTTTGTTGATTTTTTGTCGGCCATAAGTGTTTTTTTCTTCTTCCAATCTTATTCCGGTTTTACTACATACACGCGCCAACCTGCGAATTTACTTACGAAAAAAAATGCCGTTCTCGGTAACTGATCTTGACAATGTAAACAAACGTATGCATTAATCACCATTTAACGCAACATATGTCTTATGATGTCATATGCCGTTCAATTCGTGATTAAGAATCACTGATGAACTAGCCTAGCCATATAGACAGTTGCATTCGGCTTCGTCTAAATGCGTCAAGTGTTGGAATTCGTTTGAACTCTACCTTCAAGTGTGTAATAATTGTGTTGGTTTTATGACACTTTCGACAAGCATGAGTGTCATATGACTTATTTTTTTTTCTGTTCTGCCGCTTGTTTAGTTTTCCTTTTGATTGGTGATCAACGTCACGCGGTGAGTGATGCGGTCGTGTTGAGGAAAACAATCGCTTTTAAAATGCAATGAGTAATTCACGTGTTGGTGTTAATTAAAAGAAACGCCTTAAGCATATGTGCTTGAGTTCGCGAATCTTCTCAATTTCTTGTGCGGCATTTTATTCCTCGTACTTTACTATGAATCACACTCCATTTAACTTATCGCTGTTGTTCTGGTCCAATAAAATTATGAACTGATTACATCAAGCAAAAACAATTCTAACCGATTCCATGACGATTCAGAATATTTACAATGTTTAATTGCAAGATAGAGGAAAAAATGAGAAAGAAAACGAAGTATTGAGTAAAAAATCGACTGATTTTTTTTCCACATAGGCGGCAAAAGATCGACTTTATTATTTCTCCTCGCATACAATTCAAATCGGCGTTCCAGGCATTTTTCTGTGTTATTATTGACTGAGCACAAAATTAGCCAATGACATCGCAGCTACTGAATAATATCAGATTGGTTTCATACGAATAATTCTCGTTCGTTGTCGTTTTTCTTTCTTTTATGCGGAATGAATTTTGATGCAATTTTTTTCGCTCGTTCATTCGACGGTATCGCATTCACTGCAATCCAAATAAGTTTAGATTGAAGTAACTGCCAACAAAGTGTCTATAATCGCGTCGTTCATGTTCTGTATGAAATCGTCGTTTGACGATGATTTTTTTTTCTATTCTCGACAAAATGCAATGCGATATAAGTGTGTGTGGTGTTTTTTTCTCTGTCGACCAAGCATGCAATCTATTTTGCTACTACAATTACATTCCCGTATCTCTCTCATACGGAAGATTATAATTTTGCATATTTGATTGTAGCCAGCAATTTTGCCCGGTTTTTTTTTCCTTCGTTAGCCCCTCTCAATAATAATTCGTTTTAACCTTCGCGCTGTTTACAGCTGCGGTAGTGCAAGGATTTGAAAATCATTTAGAGCTTAATAATTTCGTTAGAAGTTCCATTTGTTAATTTGTTCTACAGGCGTACGAATCGAAATGAAGTCGAATCAAATGTGCACTGCATGCATCATTGAATATATAATTGGATCGATTTTCCACATCTTTGCTTATTAACTAAAATATTAACCGAATTCAAATCGATTCGAAGGTGTGAACGATTATTACGTATTGTAATTTAACGCAGGCCTAAAACAATTCCAATTGCAATTTTATTAACGTTGTTTATTTGTTGTGTGCCATTTTTCTCTCTCTCTACTACTCGAATGACTGCATGGCACGTGATTCAGTAGAGAAAAACATACCAAAAACAACGGATGCCAATTATTTGCATTTTTGATTAAAAGAAGCCGGTTCGACGATAACGAATCGGGGTATTTTCAAAGAGACTTAAGTCAAACAACTGATCTGATAAAATTCACAATATGCGACTTTTACTTTTTTTATCCTCGATAAACAACGAATCGCTTACGATCCAGATGAAATAATGAACATTTTTTTATTCATGCAATCGAAACGTTATGGCTATAATTGATTCACTGAGAATAAAAGTAACTTATTAAATGTTCGCCAGTCTAACCATCCGCTTATTGTCAGACTTTGAACAATTGTAGAGCGCCATCCATAAATAATGGCAAAATCAGCTGTAAATAGCCGTAAGTGTTTTCGACATATTGTGAAATATTGCCAAATCATACCAATTAGTACTGAATTTTGTCGTCATTCATGGACGGCGCTCTACAATTTCACACTTCGTATTTTATATGTATTCAATACAAGATTATATGCGTGTGATTCTAACTGCAACACAAAACAGTCGCCGAACAAAGCGAAACATAGTTCTGTTATTCGAACAAAATGTCACACAGAATAAATGTATATAAAAATCCCATGTTCCTTCTTGATCGAGTAACAGAACTATGTTTCGCTTTGTTCGGCGACTGTTTTGTGTTGCGGTTAGACTGGCGAACATTTAATAAGTTACTTTTATTCTCAGTGAATCAATTGTCTCATTCGATAGAAATGGAACGTGAATAATCATTTTCAAAATGCTCTAGGCAACAATAGTTGATTTCCGCCGTTAGTGCAGACTCGCGCTGTTGTCATCGTAACGCAATTGAACGCGCAAATGATGTATGAAATGAAAATGCATCCATAATATGTGAATAATCTCAAGATTTGAATGCATAAGTATGAATAATTATCCAAGCAAGTTTCTTGATGAAACTAATCCAGAATTGCATAGACCGAGGCGCGTGTAGATTAACAAATGCCCAAATTAGTCAATCCAATAATTAACATCTTGAATAAACATCATAAATAAACATTTGCAGCGTTCAATACAATAGTCGAAAATTCAACACAAAATGTGTTTTTTGGCTTCTTGTATCGTTTCAAATGATATAATCGTTCTATTTTCATCGCCAATCGATGAGATGACTGAACAGCTGACAAACAAAAAAAGTACACAGTCACGTGATCAAACAATTAATACAACCAATAAAAAATTCGTCACATTCTTCGCATTAAATGTACTCAATTTTTATTATTTCAGATGGCGCGGAAGCATCTACAAATTAGTTTGGTTAGATTTAGTATGTTTTCTATTTTTGTACTACACATTAAACATAATCTACCGTACAGCATTAGATGACGACCAAAAAAAGTGAGCACAATGCCCTCAACACGTTATTTCGTGTCTTAAACCGGAAGTTCGGTTTCTCTAATTGAACTATTTCGATTTTTCGCAGGATTTTTGAAGATATCGTGAAATATTGCTCAACATATAGCAATTTGATTCCATTATCATTCGTCCTCGGTTTCTATGTCACAGTGGTGATGACACGATGGTGGAATCAATACGTGAGTCATTGTCATTTCCTCTATTTATTACGTAGAATAAGAGATGCTGCAGTGAATCTATTCAAACTGCCTCATATGCAGAAATGAATTCATTTGAACTACTGGGAAAATGCTTAGATTCATTCGGATCCTCTTGGATTGATTCGAAAAAACTGACATTTCTCTTGCGAATTCTTTCCATATTCGAGCTATTCCACTATTCGAAAGCTTTTCAAACACTTTTCGTTTTCATATTACCAATGATTTCGTTGATTTTTACAGGTGAGCATTCCATGGCCAGATACATTTGCTGTATTCGTTAGTGCCAACATACACGGCCAGGTACGTTTTAATTTTATACCAGTCAGACTTTTACTGATGCCAATTATCGAACACATTTTACTGTCACACGATACAATGTAATTAACGACGGCGAATGAAAATTATATCTGCTGGCATCAAAATAATTTGTTTCGATTTTTTCTTGCAACAATTTCATTTTATTGCACACAACCGAAGACATATAAATCGTCTGTAAAACGAACATATTTCGCTCAAAATTGCCTTCAGTCACTGATAATTGTGTTTACTGTTTCGCTTCAACGTAAAGACAAACAAACAATTTCATTGAGCCTTTTTTCATAGCAAAATGAGTTTTTTTTCTCGTACAAATGAGTCATTTGCAAATACTTCATTCGAAATGGCTTACGCTTATTCGAATAAATACAAATTCATTCGGTTATATAGGCACAAGAAACAGAGAAAATTTAACGTTCGAAATTTCGGTCTAGCCAGTTAGGTAATATTTTCGGCGTCGACTTGTCTTGATTAGAATATTTACAACTTGAATGAATCCAAGCGAAAATTAAAGGGTAATCAAATTGGCAGATTGTATTTCGGTGGTCATTCAACCGACTCGTTTGTAGTAATTGTTCACGAAAAAATGACGTGAGTGACGTCAGTGATGTTCGAACGTTCCAAATAAGTGACATTGTCCATAATTTGCTCATAAAAATGCGATCGAATAAAATGTCGCATAAATTTTTTAAATTTACAGTTTTATTTTAATGAATATTCACATTTTCCTAATGCATTTTGTAATTTATTGTTAGGATGAACGAGGTCGTTTGATGCGACGAATCGTGATGAGGTATGTCTGTCTTTGTCTGACAATGGTCTTGTCAAACGTATCACCACGTGTGAAGAAACGGTTTCCGACATTACAGCATTTAGTTGAAGCAGGTACATAATGATCTCTGTTTAATTTCCTTTCAATTCGAATATCTTTTGAAACCACAAAAATTCTGTTGAAATGTTCCGCAGGTCTCCTAGAGGAGAATGAGAAATTCATCATGGAATCGTTCAACTCAAAGTTCACCAAGTATTCCAAGCATTGGATGCCAATTGTGTGGGCGTCAAGTATAATTACGCGAGCGCGCAAAGAAGGCCGAATCCGTGATGATTTCGCTGTCAAGACATTAATTGATGAACTGAATAAGTTTCGTGGTCAAACGGGCTTGTTAATCTCGTACGATACCATAAGCATTCCATTGGTGTACACTCAAGTCGTGACACTGGCCGTCTATTCGTTTTTCTTGACATCAGTAATGGGTTCGCAGTGGTTCGAGAACAAACCCGTTGCCGAAGGCGTGATCAATCGAGTCGATTTGTACTTTCCCGTGTTCACAATGCTACAGTTCTTTTTCTACATGGGATGGTTGAAAGTGGCCGAATCGTTGATAAATCCATTCGGTGAAGATGATGACGATTTTGAAGTGAACTGGATTATAGATCGTAATCTTCAAGTATCATACATGATCGTCGACGAAATGCACCACGAACATCCGGAACTCATCAAAGATCAGTATTGGGACACAATTTTACCATCGGACGATCTTCCATACACGGAAGAAAATCTTCGCGAGCAACATCCACAGCCATCGACCGCAAACATTGAAGCACCGAAGCGAACGTTCACGCAGTCATTGTTTAATACTATATCATCAAGCCCCAAAATCGATGAATTGGTCGGTAAAAGTGCACTATCGATTAACAATTATAAATTTCCCGAAATCGATGTTGAGGTTAGACTTATAAAAAATTAAAGAAAATTTCTATCCGCAAATTATCTATATTTGCACACTGCATGATTTCGTAGACTTGTGTTTGATTTTCAATTAACTAAACGGACCTATTCTGATTTTCGTATGATTTATTTTTGATTTTGGGTTGTTTTTTTTTTATCTTTTTAAACCCACTTAACAATTTATCCGTTCGCAAAATTTTGATGATAAGCTAAAAAAAAAACGAGCAAAATTTCTTTTCTGTATCATATTGGGACATTTATATTGAACTGTAGCTTAGCACTATGCACACTAATCACTAACAACTTGACAAATACATAAAACTCATTCAATCGAAATAACCAATGCAATGGAAATGTTCTAGGCCGATGATAACGCGAGCGGAATTCATTTTACCGTTGATCGACGAATGTCGAAAAATCGATTGGGATCAACAAACAGTATTCACAGTAATGCGGGGAGCGTGCCACGAGTCAACACCGTCACCAATGTATTTCGACGTTTCTTCAGCCGGGAAGATTCACGATCTCCAAATACACCAGAAGGTAAAAATGTGACAAATTTCGTTGACTCTAATCGAAAAGATTACAAAAAATGTTGAAGAACTATGAACAAAAATACTAAAAAACCATATCATTTCAGGTTCCCTACCAACACCAACGCTGGGCCATTCATCTAGTACCATCAGTATGGCGGGTCCAAAGTTCCCGCAAGGAACGATGCGTATCGCTGATCAAGTGATCGAAGAGGTTGACGAACAGATGACCATCACTTCAAATCGTGGCCATGATTCACGTCCCACAGCTCAAAGTTTGTTTGCGCCGAACAATGAGAAGATACCGACCCGAAGCCAACCGATTGACGTGCCCGGTTCAAATCGCAATAACATCGAGTACGAGCGTGTTCAATCTGTGATGCAACAAGAACATCAGCCATATTTGTTTCCGAGCGATGCCTTTTTCAGTTCGTCAGCACCCGAAGAAGGAGTTAACATACCACTACCAAAAATTTGTGTTGAAAAATCCGTAGAGTTCAAGAAACGCACACCAACTGGATCCACCGATAAATTAGGTAAGAAAAGATGATTCGATTGTAACTGATTTGACATCGAAATTGAACAAAAAAATCTTTTGTCTCTTCCAGCTGAAGAAGATGTTGATTGTACAACAGCCAATGACAATCCCACGGACGATGATTTCGAGCAATTGCGTTTGGCTCGCGAAAAAGAGCGACTCGAGAAGCAAAAACAGAAAATTGCGCGTACGATAAGCCATCAAACTGGCGGTATACCAATAGACTCCGAACTACTGATCGAGCAATTGACAAATTCCAAAGGCGATGGAATCAACCGAACATCCTACATCGAACCAAATTCGTAAAGCACAACAATTTTAACGCACCACTTTTCTCGTTAGAAATGGACATTTTCGCTTCAAACTCTCACAGACGAAACGAAGCAGGTGAATGACGAATACGCGCATTTGTTGTACATTAACCCTTTTTTTTCTCTTGCAAACTCAAGGGCCTCATTTTGTGATCGATATTTAATAACAAAAAAAAAGAAAAAAACTCTTCAATCAAACAAATTAAATCTCGTACAAAAAAACGTACTTTTATTGTATTATACTAATTAATTTATAGCTGCAATTTGAAAGAAAAAAAATAAGAAACCAGATCGCATCGATGCGATAATTGTATTTGATTGAATTGCTTCAAGAGAAAAACAACAACCATGTATTAAGTAAAATGATAAAGCTTTATTGTTGATAACGATTATTACTGCCTAGAATAAGGAAAGAGACGAAAATCAAATTGTGACTTTATCTGATTTTTTTTTGCTTGTACTATTATTATTATTATTGATTGAATGAAAAGAACAAATTGAATAAAACTTAAACACCGAACGGAAACTATCAAACACTTCACGACTTTGTAATGCGTTTTTTTTTCAATGGATCGTGCGAAATTTAGATTTCTATAGTAGCAAAGGAAGTGGGAAAGAAGACGGTGTTGATGATGTTAAAACAAGAGAAATGAAGTCAATTAGCAAGAGCTATGCGAAATTAACATTTCTGTAAGAAATGAATTTGCGATAAACTGCGAAAATATTCCAGACATCACCAATTTCATTCAGTCGTAAGACGATCACAAAGACCATTGAGAATGATCATCAAAGCAATATAATAAAATGAAGCATGTAACGTGAAAATACCCATTTCTTTCAACCAGACTACCAACTGTTCAGACGATCGCATACCTTCAGGCGCTTTAACATTTCAACACAATGAACTACACCAATCGCTTTTTCTTTCATTGAAACACTATATTGACTGTAAATGTTGAATGCTCTCTTCATTGTATGCTTCAATAATAGTGTGGATGTTCCAAAGTCATTGACCTTTCATGAATTAGCACTATTGTAATGGGTCCAAAGTACATTGGCATTTGTTCGTTTGATTACAATTAACATCATTAGCCAAACTTACGTTGGAAAATGTAAATGCGATATTTTCGTTAGATACTTGCAATTGCCATTCGATAGACACCGTTTTTATTTTATGAATTTGATTATTATTCTATAGTTTTGGTAATTCGTGAAAATTTACGTGTTTTTCTACTGTAAAATTAACGACTTTTCAAAAACAAATTTACATAAGATTAAATGGTTTTATTATTGGAACTCTTTCTTCTCTGTAGAATTGAATACGTCGTCAATTTTATTTTCTAAAAACAGGCAATTCATTAAAATGGTTCAGCTATAAGACATTAACTCCTTATCGAGATGATGGGCTAATTTTATATCACTCGTTAAATAGAAAAAAGATAGAAAGGGAGAGAGAAAGAGAGGCAGAAGAAATATTTTGTGTTGATTGTTTGTACAGAAATGTTTTGATCTTCCAACAGATCAAGTGTATGAAGAATTTTTCAGATATTTCGATGTCAAACACAATACATTCTTTGTTCTAAGTACACGATTTTGGAAAATACACTTCACAATTCCCAGAAATAAACAAAAACGTTATGGTTAAAATTGGAATAAAACAGTGTAAGGTTGAATTGTTGACAAATTTCTAAGCTCCATTTGCGGCATGAAACACATGCCTTTGTTTTTATTTTCATCTCAACTTGGAAAAAGTTTGATGTATGGACTTTTAGCGATAGAAAATCGAACGATATAATGGAAAGCAACACTTCAGTCTACACGATACTTGAAATGATCTTGCGAAATGAAAACAACATATATATGTTCAAATAACATATGATTTCATTTTATTCTCCCAACCAAATCATACGTTATTTTTCATTCTATAGCATCCACTTGATGTATGCATTTAACCACATTCTCAATCTCTTTCTCAATATTTCAAATGGTAAAAATTCAAATGACGTATGAATAACAGATTCCAATAAGAAAAATAAGTGGTATCGATCTGATTTGTGTAGTCAGAAAATTCAGTTCAAATTTTGCTTTTCAAATTGATGAATTGACGATATGTTTTCCAATTTTCACCCCATAAAAAAGTGACTTTCGGTATTTTTAGAGCCTTAAATTGAATATCTCAAATGTGTCATGTTTGATTTATCTCCATACGCTGTAGTATATGAGTAATTCCACCTTCCTGCTTGCCGAAGGAGGTAATGAACTAATGCACGTTGTCAACTTCCGCCCGGAAATTCAACTACGAGTCGAAATACATCCACAAATTATGGAATTAAATTGATTGCAGTAGTTAAATTGAATATATCTTCAATGATTTATCTACGTATACTGTTGATAAAAATAAATTTTCTGTACATTTGTACAACATTTTTCTGTAGATTTGCGTCAATATTTTCAAAATAATCCAATATTTGGAACGAAAACCATCGATTAAAGGCTTTTCATTCTGAAATTCGACGATAAAGCCGAAAAATAAGTGTTACGTCATGCAAATAGTGAATAATCGAAAATTGATAGAAAATTTCGTGTGCGCAGATGTTTCTTCGTATCGAAGTCATGTGTGTCATCAATTGAAATTGTATAAATATCTCACGCTTCGATAGATTAATGGTCCAAGTTCGTCATTTTACTACATTGTATTATGATAAGAGTGGAAATAGCCGAAATGGTAGAGCCGTTTAGGAATGTGTTTATTAACCTGGTTGAAATATATCAGCAAATACAACAGGCTCGATGTGAAAATAAACAAAGGTGATCAACAACACACAGACAGGTAGTAATGATAATTTCGGCTCTGAAATTTCACAATATTTTGTTCTGAATTTTCAATTTCTTATCTTCTTCATCAAAATTGATTTCTTCTTCTTCTTCGCTTCTTATTATCCAAACAAAAAACTGAATAATTCACTGGTTGTAGTAGTCATTGAAAGGAAATTTTCCACACATACATACCCATGGCATACGTATATTTTTACATGTTTTTGTTCTTTATCTTTGTGGTTTAGTAGCAAACAAAGCACAAGAATTTTATTCGACTAGAAAATGGTTCTTCATGCAGTGATGTAAAGTAAATGTGAATAAATAAATAGCGAAGTGCACGTACAAAACGTGTTCATATATGCGTAGACATTGTATTCTTTAGTCGATTATAAGCACATTGTTCAGTCAAGGTCAGAATTGGTACGTGTATTCCGTATTGAAAACGTTTGCGTAAGCGAAACGCGCATTTCTAGCCGCTTTTGTATTTTATGTGGTGACATTTGGTGAAGAGAAACAAATTTCTATTGCATGATTCGATACGGTCTGTGATGAAATCCTAGCCACTGAATTTGAAGAAAGAGTTTCATGACAATACAATTAATCGCTTTTAATAATTCAATCGCCAGAAATTCGGACTGAAAATCGTACACATATGGACACAATCAAGCAGATTCATTATGAAAGACAACCATTTTTACATCATTTTTTTGCGATTTTCGAAGACGTTTGCGAATTCGCAACTGAGCAAACAAACGGTTTGGTGATAAAATGAAACTCGTTACTTGGTACTAGTAGTCGTAACTGAATACTTAATTTTGCTTGTTTTCCTATATATTTCGCCTTCACTAAAAATGACGATTGCCGACTCAATATTATCAAATTTTTCAAATCAACATTGATTTTGAACAAGTTTTTTTTGTTAGGACTGCGCCATATTGGGAATGAATCATTTCCATCAGACGTTGATAGATTAGCGTCAAAAGTGCATATATTTCGGATTCCTTATCAAAGATACAAGTTCTTTGACTTGTGTCACTACATGAATACGAAATATGTGCGGCCAAAAGAAAAGAAACATTCCGATAAAGACGTCAGCATATCCACGTTTTTTATCTCCCTTCAACGAGTCGTAAATCATTTCTGTGGTTGTGCGGAAAAAAAGATTATTATTCGTCGTTGTTTGTGATAAAGATCAAACGTGTGGATATTACACGCTTCACGCAAAACTGAACGAAAATTCGATAAAAATTAGCGATAAAATTGGTCTCTTCAGAAAAAAGCGCGTATAAACGCATTCAAATTTTTTTTAATTCCATAAAATTAATACGTCCAAGTTCTTTCGCTAATCCTTCATTTGATGACGTGTCTTTTATGTGCGTTTTGTGCAATGATCGATATATAAATTTTCTGTGAGAGTCATAAAACGGCCAAAAGATGAAACGCTGTTAATGTGATTTTATGATGTGGTACTGACATCATCGTGAGTATAGCGTGTTTTTGCCATATACATATATCGACACCATATGTATATATCCATGATGGCTAGAAATTTTCGTGTGTTTTAAGCAATTGTTCGTTGTTGATTTGTGTGGCTGCATTTCCTGTTTTAACTTTCGGGACTCTGTGTAGTCGTCGTTTCAAAAAAAGGATCTTTAATTTGATTGCGCCGCACGAAGGGGCGTGGCCATCCGTTGCACATACAAATGAACACAAATGGAAATCGTATGCGTGCTGCGAGAGAGAGAGCACGTAGGCAAACGGTGGGAGAGACATAAAGAGAGAATACCAAAATTTATAGGTGCAGTCAACGCATCACAGAGAGAACAAGTTCCCCTCCATGCTTTGCTTGTATCAAGACGAAATTTTTTTTTGTTCCGTTCAACATTTGGTTTGGATTTGATATTGGAACACGAATTGCATTTCGATTGGTATGACAAAAAAAGTAACTTTTTTTTTCATGATAACATTCTTCGAGTGATATGGATTTTTGGGCACATTTCCCTACTTCCTCCCCACCAAACATTTACTGCGCTGCTCAATCACCCTGGCTCAAAAGAGGAAAAGAGAGCGAAATGAATGCTCATTAAATTCCAAAATAATTACATTAAAAGGCCATTTGAAACGAGCTGTGGAAAATTCCATCACAATGTTTTAATGAATTTTTAATGAAATCCCCTCAACTCAAACGGACGAAAGAAGTCGGCCAGTGCGAATGAGTTCAACACTTGGCCTAGTCTTAATTGAAACTACGAATATAATGAATATTACTACTTTCAAAAAACATCTGCAATTAAAGTTGAGTATGTATTAAATCTTTCATATATATGACAATTGCGCAAGCAAAAAAAGAATTTTCGTAGTTTTTTCTTTCGAATTTATTTGCCACTCCATGAATTTAATTGAGAATCTGCGCAATAATCCAACTTTAAACAATTTCCAAAGTAACAATTCGATGGCAAACGTATATATGGCAATGCCTTCATATGGGCTGAAAAAAAAGTCAGTGTGTCGAAGAAATTACTTCATTTTCTGGAAATCATAAATTTTAATGCTTCTAGAACGATCGAACATTTTGATATATTGTTGTAAATCCAAATACAATAATATATATTATTATGCTACAGAAGTATATGTAATAAAATGATGAAAATTACAAATACATTTACAACACACGAAATTGAATGTTGTGAAAGCCAAATGCTCGAAAGAACCAGAAAAAAAATAAAGAGATAGACAAATACACATTCAAAAACAAAATTGGATATTGCATATTACGTTGAATTGGTAATTGTATTTTCTCGATTTCGCAGTGTCTTTGTGTGCGAGTGTATTGGAAACCTTGCATCGAAATGCTATTACCATCTAGAACTATTGTTTGCGGCCTACGGACGAGCGCGTTATTTCTTTTTCTTTCTTTCTTCTTCTTCTCTTCTTGTTCATCGTATAAGTGATCCGAATGATTTTACGCGAGTAGCTACTAAACGGGGAATGCGCGAACAGGCGCGAATACGTGTGTATGCAAGCATGTGTGAGTTTGTGTGTGTGTTTGCGTATGAATTACGTGAAGACAGAATCAAAACAATACAGTATTAAATTGTGTATGCATAGCCGAACATCTCCGATCGTCAACATCGTTGAAAAAAATCTACGTTCATCGTAATTAAACGCAGCATTTCAACGGCGCATACAAACGCATATCTGTACATGTGAGAATCGTGTGTGTGTGTGTGTTTGTGTGTTGGTGAAAATTGAATGAAAACATATCTCACGAATACACATGATTTGACGTTGTCTGTATGGATGGAACACACAACAGTTCGGAAATTTAAATAAAAACAGAGAACGAATACAAACAACACAACCAACACAGTGACACGGTGGCCGAAGTAGCTAGAACGTCAATACGAGCGCACTTGTATCATCCAAATAATAATATACACCGCACATATGCTCGCCTTGCGCACACATACCAAAACTCAACACATTCTCGCGCATTCAATACACACAATATACACAACACATACACCGACCCGCACCGAATTTGTATACATTGGTAGCAGCAAGTAAAGTGACAACAACAACCAGCATCGAGAATTTTCACACACAAATCGGGAGAAAAAACACACAGACCGAGAGAGAAATATATATTGCTTCGGCATTTGAAAACATTCACATTGGAGGTTAGTACAATTCGGTCCGCTAGGCAGTGAACCCAAATAAACGCAATATATATGAACCGACCAGTGTGTATCGTTTTTCCATTAATCCCCATTACTATAGGAGAAAAGACACAAAAAAAAAGAAAGAGAACAATTTGTGGTGCGCTTTTTTATTGTGCTGTGTGATTTCCGAATTAAAATGTGCTTATTGCGAGTAAAATGGACAGAAAACCGAAGTGAATAAACAATTGTGCGTCTAGGTACAAACATACTAGGATTAATGAATACCTTGCATTCAGTGGCTATTATTGTGAATATTTGATGTTGTTGTTGTTGAATGATTTCTTGCTTTGGCTTTTTGTGTTCATTTGTACCATTCGTATATATACATATCTCTATCTCTATATATATAATATATACTTGAAAGTTGTATATATATTTATATATATACCAATGGCTCTTGCTGTCATTCGCGACTTGTGTGCACTTTTCGGTCTTTCTCACGACAATTTTATTTTTTTCTCTTTTTCAAATGCTCACGAATTCACCATGCGCTGTTTCATTCGTTATGTGCGCGATTCTACATATTTTACCTATTTGTTTTTAATGTTCTCATCGCTTTACTACTTTTCTATGGCGTGTGTGTATCGCGTATTTTTTTTTCTGTGTGTCTTTTTTTTTCCTCTTCGTGTTCGATTGACATTTCGCTAGACAACGTTCAATAATAGCACGATATACAAATGTCTATGCTGTTATTTTCATATTTTATGATTTTGCAGCTGCAGTTTGTTTTTTTTCTCCCAAACACAAAAGTGCTACTGGTTTTGCTGCTGCTATTCCATCCAGCTTCAATCATGGATGATATTTAGCCGTTCGATTTGAAGGATACGTTTGAATATTCGCTAATCGTGGTGACAAATAAAAGGTTACCACTTCGGCATACTTTGTGCTATAAAATTTCTTCTTTTTTTCGCATCAGATAAAAAGAAGAACGGAACGAAAAAAAATCGATATCAAGTGTTTCTTATGCTTTCGTGTCACAATGGTTTTAACAAAGAAATTTTCTTCACTCAGTGTATATATGAATTGGCGTCAAAGGCGTTCCAGTCTTGACATACAATGAAATACAATGGCAAAGACGAAGGAAAAAAAAATAAATAAATTGCTCAATGCACAGGCAGCAGTTCATCAAGGCACCGAAGCGGAAAACAACCAGAATCGGCATTGCATACACGTATAAAATATAGCATTATTTATACGAATATATATAGCAAATGACAGTTGGTTCGCGATATTCAATTCACTCTGCCTGAGATACGTTTTCGGCCTCAATTTTAATGCAGGAATGCGAATGCAAAATCTTTGCTTCGCTCTCTCGATTCGAATTGTGTGTACGTTTGAAAATGTCCAATGTCATTTGCTGCAAGCAACTGCATGGGTCGCATTTTCTCTTCGTCACTGTGTGGTAAAATCTTGAGCGATTGAAATAGTTATGTCTAATAAGATATATCCAACTAGAAAATCAGAAATCAATGATTTTCTCTCGTATTCCCCCTTTGTTTTCTTCATCCCAGTCTCTGTCATTTCTATCATTCGTTACACACAGTGAGAGAGATCTATGAAATTTCAATGCTCAAAATTGTTTTCAATGTTATGGATGTGCTGCTCGGCTCGATGCTCGTCTAGTGTGCTGTATGCTATATGTATGTATAGCCGAGGCGAGTAATATATTGAAATAATCGGGGGCAATTCGTTTCGTGCGTCAGTGTGTGTAGGTGTGTGATTCCATACGTACAACACAGCAGCAGTAGTACATCGGTTTTCGTATTCCAATGTAATGGTGTGACTGTAAATATAAATTAAAAGTTTGAATTGAGTCGCTTGCAAGAACTTTGAATTGAATACATCGTCGTTTTCGTTTTGTTCAGCAGAAGAAGAAAAAAAAACTTTCCAATTTATACGATTGGTTCACATACTTCGATTTCAACTTCAGCCATCTGTTTGATCCAATAGTTTTTTTTCTTACTTTCTTATCAATGTTCTATCTAACATTGGAAAGTTCTCATTTTTCTATCTTCAAAGAAAATTTCTCTGAGTTTTGTTTGTCATTTGAGACGAACCTATTTTATTTGCTCAAATTGATGGCCAACCATTAAATGGAATGCGACAATGATACGAACAATGACAAATGATACAATTTAAACAGAATCCAACATTGAATCGATTCTTGAAAATGGGAAGAGAACAATTCCAGAAAATATCACTTTGAAAACCGAAGATTCGTTCAAAACCTCAGATCTATCGAAATATTCTTCCGAATCCGAATCGCCTTATCTCCGACCAAATCATTCGAAATCGCATTAAATGTAAAAAAAATAATATTTCGATGAGATAGGGAATTATTATGAATTGACAGTAGCAAAGCAGTAGCATCAAATCGACGATTTAAATGTCGATCTCGAGCACAGAAGCAGCAGTGGTAGTGATGATGGTGGAGTTGTATGTGTGAACGCTCTTTCTCTCTCTCTCTCTCTCTCTCTCTCTCTCTCTCTCTCTCTTGTCCGCAACGCGAAACCTATTCGAATATGTCTGTGTGATATGGAATATTGTTGTTGCTGCTTTGTTTACTCGCATATACCGAATGTGGTTGTGCATATGATGGGTCGTCGTCGTTTTATTTGTTTCGCGCGATGCGCGCCACACGTACTTGGGTATCGATGCGATTGTATGTGTGCGTATGAGAGCGAGACAGAGAGCCAAAATGTTGTTTACGCTGTACGTTTTTGACGGTTGTTTTTAGTAAACAAGAGATATATAAGTCCATACAATACACGGTTGATGTTGACTTGTAGATGGTGATATTTTTTCTTTTTTCGATATAAATACGTATACACACAAAATATCTCTTTCTGTTTATTTTAGCCTGGTATGTTCGAGTAATTTCATGTCTCGGCATCAGCTTTTCATTCGATGAGGCTGTGTAATGTGAATGCATTGACATGTATGTGTTTGCAATGCATAGCTCTTTTGCAGATTCGATCACAAGCGGAGAAAAAAAAACAGAAACATTCAGCAAAACTCACAATGGCACAACATTCAATCCAGAGTCTATATTATGACGTGGATATCAATGTCGTAGTGCTTTGTCTCTTTCGAACATTTTTTTCATCGTAAAATACCTATTAAAATTGTTCAACTTTTTTCTAAATAAGTCTTTTTCTCTTCAAATCTGCAAATTGTTTCAATCTCCCAGATTTTCTAGTTATGGCAAATATTTAGCAATCGCGAAAGAAAAATGTAATCAAAAAGCCTAATTTCCATCGTTATTCGAGAAGGTCAACTAGGTTGTCGTTCATTTTCGAATAATTTTCCCATGTAACCGCATCTATCATATGATATACGAATGTAATAATCGCACGCATACACACACACACATATATCAAGTCCAGTCGGTGCAAGAAACCATTTTTCGAATTTACCATGAAATTTCTTGTTTGAAATAAATGTTGCAATAATTATTAATTAATATTTATTTTGATTTTTCTTTCCAATTTCAGATATAAATCGAAACGAGTAAAAATTCCAACGAAATAATTTCAAGAAAAAACGAGACCAAAAGAACATGCATTGAGAAAACTGAAAAGTATCGTTTAAAATAAAAGGTGGTATCTAGTGATTGCTGAAACTTTCTCGAATGGAATAAAAACCGAAAAAGCACAGTTTTTACAAAGTGACAGTGTGAATGAGTGATTTGTGAACATAAAGAAAACGATTTTGAGCAATAAAAAAATATTTCGGCTAAAAAACAGAATGGATTTGTGCGTTTAGTGAGTAAGTGTGCGATGTGGTGAATTGAATCATGAGCGCCGACATTGGCGTTCCATGGAGATCATCAAGCGGCGCCAGCGTTGCTGGTTGTAGCGGTGAATCGAGATCTCCATCGTTGTCATCATTACCTCCACTTCCTGATTTGATTCCAATTCGAAAGGGCAACAGTAATACGCTTATCAAAGCCAATCTAAAACATGCCAACCCGAACAATGGGTCCGTATGTCCGAATGCAAATAATAACACAAATGAAACGACAATGAACAGTCACCATAGTGATCAAAACGGGAACATTGCAAATGATGTTAGTCAACATGAGCACGATGAGCTTGAATCAATGGACATTAAACCAAATGCCACTGAATTGTCTTTGTATCAGTCTTGTGATGGGAATCGTCGTAACGGCAGTGAACGTCGTGAAGACAATGACCAACAACACCAACACCACCATCAGCACACCGAAGGCGATGCGAATTTGTCGACGATGTCGATAAAACAAGAACGCCAGCAGCAGCAGCAGCAGCAGCAGTACACAGATGACGGAGATGTAGCTCGCAAGAGTAGTGCAAAAGCAAACAGCGCCGATGCAATGGCCATTTGTGTTAGTATCGGTGGCAGTTATTTCACAAATGGGAACGGTAATACGGTTCAGTGTGACAGAAATGTGGATGGTGGACAGTTAAAGCACGTTAATAAATTGTCGTTGGTGAAAAATGAAAAGTGTCAAAATAGTGATTTAATGCATAGTACCAGTAAAAGTAATAGTAACACTGCCGCCGCCGCCGCCGCCATCGTTGATTCGTTTGATAGCGATAACCGAAATGCCGAAAGTGAAAATCAAAAAAGTGGTGTTGGTGGCCCGGCCCAAAATGGCAGAGCCGGCAATAAAAAGAGTCAAAATAATTTCATTTCGGATATTCCAAAGCGAACAACGCGAAGTGCATTAGATACATATGAATGCAAAGCAAGGCTATACACACCGTTACCGGCCGTTTATTATAGCGCATGTTATGCGAGAGCCGCTCGCCAAAAACCAAAACGAAAAGTTCTCAAAGGCAAGGGTCGTGGCGGTGTATCAAAAGTTGGCCGACCACCAAAAGCAAAATCAAATACAACCACCAAAAATGCATCATTGGCTTTGGGAACAGTGACCGAAAAATCGAAACCACCTAAAACAGCAACATCAACAACAGCAACAACAGCAACAACAGCAACAACTCCATCGAGGATAAATCCGATTTTTTTGTTTGTTAAACGTGATAATACGCGAATCGTTGAGGTTCGCTGTGAAGACTATGACAAACGGAATCGAATTCGTTTAACAAAAACGGCCAGCGGTTGGCGGGCCACACCACGAACAGACGATTCAAAGGCAAATGCTGCACCATCGGATGTTTCGGACACGATGTTACCAAAGGTCATGGTGAAACGGCTCGAAGAATCCAACACAATAAATGTTGTGAATCAAAATGGCAATACGGAAAATGAAAAAGACGATAAAAATAGTGCCACCTGGCGCGTCAATCCGTTCTCACAGAATCGCATTTTTATCAAAAAGGATGCATGTTCGCTTAATAACAACAACGACAGCCAATTTAATAGCCTATACGAAAATCGTCAATCATTCGATTGCAACAGCAGCAATGCTGAGCACAGCAGCGGCGTGGATACATCTGCATCGGATAAAGTTCATTTGGTAAATGAAACGTCGACACGGAAAAAACACAAAAAGAAAAAGAAGAAGAAAAAGGAAAAGCATAAATCGAAAATGGATAAAATGCTAACGGCCGAACACTTCGTATCGCATTCGGATGTTTCGTCAAAACAAACGCCGAATGGCAGCGCTGTAAGTGAGGATGGTCAAATGGCGCATGCGACACCAATACCAAAGCCGATGTCAGTGACATCGAAACAAAATGCATCTGGAAATGCAAATGGCAATGAATGCAAATTCACGATTCGACTGAGTAAAAATGGGGAATCGTCGTTCGTTGCAACGAAAAAATTCTCAACCATATCATCCACACCATCATCATCATCGTCGTCGTCTCGATCACCGAAACCCGAATTCACATCCACCGAAAAGAGCAGCGGGTTGAAGTTGAAAATCATTGCGGAACGGCAACCACAGCAAACACAGCAACCGTTCCTTACCGAACGAGACCCATTCAGACAAGAGCAGCAGGAGAATAATAGCAACAGCAACAGCACCGTTGCCAAAATGCATTCGATGGCCGCGGAGCAGCCAACCAGTGAAGTCGATTGTGATAGAGTCGAGATGTATTGCAAAAGTGATGCAGAAACTAAAACGAATTCGGATGCGCTGAGCGCAAGTGTGAGCAATGAGTTGGTGGCCGCAACTATCGATTGCGAGAAAATTGATACGAAGAAGGAAGTTGTAACGCCAGCCGTGTCTCCTTATAACCAAGTAGCATATCCTTCTCTATCACCGTCATCGTTGCAGCCACATCATCAACATCATCATCATCGTCATCATCACCAACAACAGCTACCAATACCAATGCCAAATGGTGCAGTGGAAATCTCAAATACATTCATACAATCGACGAGAGTATCGCAGCAGCAGCAGCAGCAGCCATCGACTACAACCAACGAAACAATCTCAAGTTGCAGAAGCAGCGATGTTAAAACGTTTGCGAGCCCAGATAGTGCACCAGTTGAGACATTTGATTCAAAACTATCAGTGAAACAGTGTGTTGCATCTCTGAATTCTGCAGCAGTAACAGTAACACTAGTAGCTGCGACCCCCGCGCAATTTCAGTGCAGTGACAATAATAACAGTTTGGCAAATTTGGTTGAAAATTTAACGGATGAAAAACAATTGGACGATTGTGTTGATTTGCTCGATGAAAATTCGAATTCGTACGACATTGAGCACATACAAGTGAGTGAACCACATGAAATTGGCGTTGACACCGATTCGCATTCGAATCAATTGCATCACGATTTGGGTGAGTACCATGATTTAATTGCACGCATCCAAAGCGGTGACGATGACCTTTTAAATGGTGACAATACTATGAACGGCACCGATCTCATCGATTCGCTAGTTGAACGTGGTTGCAAAGACAACAATATTTCGGGCGACGACGACGAAAACCATCACAACGATCTCAAAGATTCCATTTGTTTGTCGGACGATTACAATGACGTCGATACAAGTTTGCTGTTGAGTTCGCAGCCAGTGGTCGATATTTTGTCACGATTGAACAGTGAAACAATGGCTTCATCGTCGTCATCATCGAAATGTTTGTCGTTTAATGAGGCGGGAGAAATTGAAGCGCTCAGCGAATCGTTATTTGCAAAAGGTGATGGTTTGGTGCCATTCAATCAGAGTGCATTTGAAGAATTATCAATGACACTAAAAGGGCTTGAGAAACAAGCAAATCAAAATGCAAGTGGAAAAGATGTCGTTTGCACGACAGTCGTTTCTCCTGATTCGTGCGAAGATGAATTGCCAAAAGATTTGAGCTTCAAAAAAGCAACCAAAGAGATTGCAACAGGCCTGCGCATTGCATCACCGCGAACCATTTCACGAAGTTCCGATGCAATACAGTCCCCGCAACCGTCCGGGTTGCCAGCCGTACCTCCATCTCCAGACATTATGATGGCGTTACATCAGCACAGTAAAAAGCAAAATCCATTGTTTTTGGACATTTCGTCACCGTCACCAAAACCATCCGAAGCCAATATTTTGCACTCGAAAACCGACTTTTTCGATTTATCATCGCCGCTGTCAAAAGATGACGGTGAACATAACACTGCAACTAATACAAATCTCACGGCGAATAACAATAGCAGTTCGCGAAGCATTTTAAAGCGAACATTGCAACGGGAACCGCTTGATTTGGGCCATAAACATCGTAAATCGGCAAGTCCAACAATTAGTTGCTCGGAGGAAGTGCAACGCTCGTCGACCGATGGTGAACCACTGGCGAGACGCATCAAGACTGAACATCGTGCTGACAATAGCTTAGTGACAGCATCGGCCAAGGACACTAGTCAAGCAGCTTCGGCCAAAGATCCGGACCCATTGACACAATTACGTTTGCTAATCAATAATCCGGAATGGAAATTGCCCGATCCAATTTTAGTGCCAAAGAATCGGTTGAATGCTGTATTAGCATCGCCAGCACGTGAAATTCCATTGCTATTGACGACACGGCCCGAACTTCGGCTTCCCGAAGCATTTGCATATCCATCGATATTGCAAGATCCCGACATACTTGTGATATCGTTCGCTCAACTCGAGACCATCATTCGCAAACAAAGCGAATTTATGAAAGACGCAGACCCAAATCGAAATGTATTAAATAAACATGTCACTTCGACGGCAACAACAGCCCCGTCACAAGCAAAACCAACGTCAAGTCAAAGAGATCATCATCATCATCATCATCATCAACATTCAAGTCAACACCATAAAGAATCAAATCCACACCGCAAACATGCAGAAAAATTACCTGAAACTCAATCAACTCATGACAAAAATTCCGCTAAGCCATCGAATGCACGTGCCGAGGCAACAGCTGCTGTTTCACCGGGCGGTAACAATACAAATTTAGCGAATGACATCAATTCGGCCACACTTGAAGCTTTAAATCAAATGTTTTGGCTACCGTATTTGAGTCAAATGTCTCAGATGGGTCAAATCTCACCCGATTTACTCAAAGCTATGTCATTGCCAAATTTATCGGTGCAACCGAATGCATTCGCCGGAGCAAATCAGTATGGTTTACCGAATGCATTGCCAAATTTGAATAATCCCTTGGAATTGGCGATGTGGCAAGAGGCGGCTGCAAATAAAGTCGCACTGCAACGACTTATGGAAATGAATACACAAAATATACGGGAGGCTCAACGTAAAGCGCTAAACGATGCTAAATTACAGCAGCGAAATCAAGAGAGTATCGCAGCAGCCATTCGGCAACAAACACTGTTGCAGCAGGCACAAATTCAAAAATCGGCCAGTGCATTTTTCCAAAATTTCCAAAATCGTACGCAGCAAACGCAGCAAAAAAGTCCAGCCCAACCATCGTTCCTATCACCCACGTTCGGCAAGGACAATCCAAATGAGTCACAACAACGCGCTTCGTGCAATTTACAGTCACCAACGCTATCAAAGCGAATGTCGCACGCAATGAATCCGAATCCATTTTTCCCAGCTGCCAACAATTTCCCGAATATGGCCAATTTACACAAGTTTGGCATGGCCAATGCAAACGACACCAGCAACAGCTCATCCACAACAAATGCACTGAGAAAAGCACGAAAGGAACAGATTTTACAACAGCAACAACATCTTCAGTCATTGCTTTTGCAAAACGCCCAACATTCACAGCTCAATTTACCGGTGCACCATCAATCAAATGACACGCCGAATAAATCACTTATGCATTTACTGCAGCAATCAGGCTTGGATCAAATGCGTTCGCCACGCAATGAAACCATGGCCAACAATAAAATGCCATCCACACAGATTCCTTCGTTCGATCTAACCTCACCGAATTCAGCGCAACAAAGTAACAACAACAATGCAACCGCGAATCGACCTAAGCTAAGAGTTAAAAATGGGCTGCATTTACTCGATCCACTTGCCGCGCAAAGACGGTTCCTAGCTGGTAACACGGCACGATGCAACGACAGCCCGGAAATTGGTAGTACCACTAATGGAATTGACGAGATAATGATGAATTCTGGTGTTTTAAAGTGAGTATTTTCTTTATTCTCTTCTTTTTCTTTTCATTAAATTTATTCCTGATTTAAATGAACGAAAAAGAGCATTGATTTCAAACATTCATTCGTACTGAATCAAGACATTCGCTAGATATTTGATAGTCACGATGAAATTAAATGTAAGAATATTGAGTGGCACGCCGTTTAATGCAATTCGACTCTGTGAATAACAGCAGCAGTACACACACATATATTCGCATCATTTCAATATATATGCACACACAATACAAAACAGTAAATCAAATTTACTTTGACCTACATTGAAGCCAAACTGCCGTACGTTTTACAGCATTATTTTTTTCTTTTTTTTTCGTTTTGTTTCGCCTTTTGTTGATATGAAGTCGCCTTTTATTCAATTCCATTTTAATGAACAATGGAAATTTAAAAGAAAAAAAAATGTAGAACATTTTGAATGAATTTCAAATCGTAAATGAACACGCGTTGCTGCTTTTCATATTTTTATTGGTGACAATTCTGTTTTTCTTTCTTTTTTTGGCGAATTGCTTCCAGATCAGACCACTTTGTCACGAGCAACACGAAAAAGAAGTGAAACACTTTAATGCCCCTTCGATTTTGATAACGAACAAAAAAAAAATTAAACGAGTGCAACGACAATGATCATAAAATTGTCAATTTGGAACGTAAAAAAAGGCTTTAGCGCACATGTTGTTGATAAAAGTGTGGAGAGAATTAACAACTTTTAGCAAATTTCATGACAATAACACAGAAAAACCGTAAATATGACAAAGATTTGATTTCATTTTCACGCATTTTTTCCATCGAATTGCACATTTCTTCATTCATACTCCTCATTCACTTCAATCGCAATGATAGAACCATTGATTTCGAGGACCCACCCGAAATAATGAATGATAATAATTGTTTGAATGTCTCCAGTTGGCCATTATGAATTCAACATATTCAAAATAAGTTTCGAATTTTTCGATAACATTTTTGTTTGCTAAATTCATTTTCGAGAGCCATGCAAGGTCACATCGTTTCAGAAAATTATTTGCATTCATTTTTTTACCTTCCAGATCCGACAAATGCCGGTGTCTGACAATTTTCCTTTCAATAACACCATTTTTTTAACCTTTCAAACGCTATGTCATTTCAAGTCCAAATTTATTTGATTGAAAACGGATTTTTACGCTTTATCATTGATTCGTTTTTTTTTTGTTTCACTCGTAATCTAACAACTGATCCTGAATTGATTAGATGGGTTTGAATTGAAATCAGCGGTTTTTTCCTTCGTCGAAAAGTCGATTTAAAATTGTATGGCTGTGGTAATAGTATTGCTGTGTTATCAAAATGACGTATGAATATATCTTTCGTACAATAGTTTCAGTTCGATCGGTGGTGCTAATTGCATGGTTGACTAGTGGCACGAGGGATTTTTTGCGATTATCATGATGATAATGTGCACGTTTTGTATTCTCTCTTGCGCGCAAATCGCAGGATTAATGGCTACAAAATGATTGCGTTGTGATGACGTTGTATAATTGTTTTGTTTTTTATTTTGTTGTCATTAACTCGCTCAATTAATGTAATAAATTGGTTTAAATATTCAGGTCGATGAATACCATTTAAGTTCACTGATTAAAGTAGGATTTTTGATTCGGTTTAATGACTGTTTTTCATTCTCTTCGGTTTTTCAAATGAATTTTCTTTGCATTTCCTCTGCTCTTCATTTCAGTCTGAAAATTAGACTCTGTGTCTGAATATGTTCAAAATGCGTTTGAATTTCAAAGAGGATTTTCAGACACTGCAAAACAAAAACCGCAAAAAAAGAAAGAATTGATGGCAAAAAGCGTAATATGACCAACAAAACGATGCATGTTTCTCGTTAAGTGTTTCACAGTACTTCAGCAGCCATTTCAAAATGCATAATAATTCACTTGAGCACACTCATTTGCTGGAGTCTAATGATGATAAAAACGTTTTTAAGTGTGTAACGTTGCAATTGTGTGTGTGTTTTTGCATGAAATAGCCGATCATTAAGTGACTTTGCAACTCAACATTTTGTTTCATGAATTTTCGAAGCTCAGACGTCAGACGTCAACGCATCATTTCGTTTGATCTTTTAACATTGCTTTATTACGGTATATAAAATACGTCAAAAAAGAGCACACAACACTGACGTGGTTTAATACCAAATTAACACTTTGTACATTTAAAATTGAATTTACATTTCAACACCCTGTTGAAATCACAGCGTCTCATGCAAAGATAAATTCTCGTATTTTTCTTTTCTGTTGCCTAGCCTGTGAAGTCGTTCTGAATTATGTTCATTTACGCCTTGTTTTCCCGCCTGATACGTCTGTTTCCAATTGGGTCGTCTGCGATAGTAACGATCACTTCAATATAAATGTGTTGAATCATTTCGATTCTGAAGTGCAATTATTGAAGGTAACGGATATCAGAGAATCGGCGAATCCACCCGGAACACATAGATTAACCCGGAACGGAACACACATATTGACTAATGATTATCACCTTTCATTCAAATGACGAGCAACTATTTAACGTGTCTCAATGCCTTTTTCGCATTCTTCGTGTGAACAAAAATTGCGCAAAACTTGAAAATGAACACTTGAGTTGAAATCTGAATTTCAAGACCTAAATCCGAGTTTATGATGTGTTTTGTATTCACAATTTGTGTGCGCTTTGAATCCAATCTACCCAGGCCTAACACAATTATGACTGTGGGGCCTTTGATCCAATTATTTCTGAATTCTAATATAAAGTCCATCCATAATCACGATGTGCGCGTTAAACATAAATCATAGAAATAAATTAAATTGGAATTTTCGAATAAACATTCGACGCAAATCTAAAGCATTTCAAGTGAGAGAACGAGAGAGAGAGAAAGAGAGAGAGAGAGAGAGAGAGAGAACTAATTTCATGAGAAATAATGAAATACGAGTTCAGTGGCAGATTTAGTGCTCTGCATTTGCGTAGCAACAGCAATGGCAACAGCAGCAATAGTAGTAATGAATCGAAAAACTAACGTTTTTTCCTGCTATATTTCTTTCGCTATTTGCTAAATGCATTTTGTCATACATCAAGAAATTTAATATCAATCGCACGTGTTAAATTAAATGTGTCACACAGCTGCCTGAACGAGCACGCACGCAATCGATGCACGAAATTTTTCACAACAAAATGAATTGTTGTTCGATGTTCAATATCAAAGCGCGTCAATGCAATAGATATTTGATGTGTCGATCGAATCGTGTGTTCGGTTTGCATAGTCGATATTTTTAGCGTGTTTTGCCTTCGAAGTTAGGGTGAGACCAATAAGTCAAATAATTTTTGGGCGGTGGCATCTATGAATGACGTGTAAATAAGCGATATGATTGTGTGTCGAGAATTTAACTAAAACCTTTAAATGTGAAAACGAAAACTATGTAACTTGACATAAAATTTGTTTATGGCTTGTGTGTTACAATCACAATCTTTGTGCACAAGCGATCTATGTTTCCACATTCGGCATAATTTGCTTTTACACTTTTAATCGAGTGTTCTCATTTCGTACGAAGCATACATATCAACACTAGTTGAGAGAGAGAGAGAGAGAGAGAGAGAGGGAGAGAGAGAAAGAGAGAGAGAGAGAATGAGAGAAAAAAGTCACGCATTTTTAATTCTCTTGATTGAGGTCATCGTCTCTCCAGCACTTGGCCTGATACATCATAAAATGGATGATGTTGTGTGTTTGTGGTTTTTTTTCAGTTGTTCTGTACTCTTTGCATTGACTGTGTTTTGTGTTTCATCCCATGATTTCGTTGTAAGCGGAAATGAGACTTCGCATTAATGATTTAACGCGTTCATTCCATGAATCAGATTGGTTTGGTTTAGCCTGCTTGACTGCCTGATTTTTTTTCATACTTTTTGTTGCCTTCATCTGGATACATTTGAATTGTCCAATTGATCTCAACATTAGATTGGAATAAAGTGGGAACAAAAAGTTTGCGTTCCCATTCAAATTGGAAATGCATTCTCACAAACAAACTCTCAAGGACAAAATAATGCGAAAAACAAGACGACGACGACGACGACGATAATTTTAATTAAAAATCACAGCGATTCATTTCACATAAAATGAAATGATCATAACCATTTGAGATAGAGACAGAGTTTGATGAGATAAACCGATTTCAACATATCTACTTCGGTTGAAGTCGTGTTTATTCCAGTTGCCGCCAGCATATCTGTCGGGATGAACAACGCCCAACGACTTCGGTCGACGACGAATGCATTTATTGATATGATAAATACAAACTGACGAGGATTATATAAAAAAAGACTAAGCAGTTTCAACTACGCAACAGCAGCAGCAGCAGAGAGAGAGAAAAAACAACGATAGTATTAAAAGTAAAAATAAAAACAGAGCATTCGCGAGCATGAACCGCAAAGACACAACAAATTCTGGTTTAATTGAAACAATGGTTTCAGATTATAATCTGTTTACGATACTAATGCACTTCCTTCGATTTGAATTGTATTACGAGCGCATTTTACGTGTGTGTGTGTGTGTGTGTATGCGCGCGCCTGTGCTCATGTTCCGTTGTAGAGGTAAAATTTGAGTGTGTTTTTGCCAGTGTATATATTTGTGAAATAGAAATAAAATGCGAATTCACGTCGACTTTCTAATTTTGATTTAATTTTTTTTCCTCTCTTCGTTCATATACATTTTTCAATTGAATGCGCCATTCGTTGAATACACGACAGTCGCAAATTATATTCACTTGGGTATTCAAAGTTTTTTTTTCTGCCCATTCCATGTGGAATTTTTTTTTTCGTTAGTTTTACTCTCAAGCGGTCAATGCATTTGAACGGCGTTTCTCTTCCAACATTCACTTAATGAATGGAAAAAAACGACGGGTTCAAAAGGTGCTGAAAGGTACACAATTTTTTTCCGATCAATATCAAAAATATTTAATTTATGGATTTAATAATGTAACGATCTTTTGCTAACTTGAAATTTTTCTTCAGTCAAATAATTGTTTTGACTACCGTCGACACTTGCGAACGAAGAGCATTGTTTCAGACGATGGAGCAAACATTTGCAAAGCTAGTCAAATAAACAACATTCTGCGTTGAAAATGGCATCAATCGTGTTTGTGTGAGAGAGTGTGAGAGACACACCGGTCCTAGACCAAAATATGAAGAAGGATATACATTGTAGAAAAAGCGACTGAAATAATGAAACGAATCAACATAGACAATGTACAGTAGAAAACAGAACACAACGAAGCGCAAATGACATAATCGAGCGGAAATGAAATTCAAATGCGCGTCGAGAAAAACCGAATCTCTTGATGCATTCACGTGGAAAGAGAGATTAGCTCGTTTGGCGTTTGTCTAGCTGTGATATCTGATTGAATTATTACAATATACAATTTTCTTTCTTCTTGAAGAACAAAATGGCTTTTCATAAATTATTAATTTTCTTCTTCAATTCAATCCAAGAATAGTCGCCGATGATGATGCTACTGATTTATTTGCTATGTTGAGAGATTATTTAATGGTTGCCTAGGGAAGAATGGTATTTCAATCAAAAATTCGTGGTCCGATAAGTACTCTCCATCCATTTAGCCCGTAATTTTAATTTGAAAATAAATGCTGTTTGCAACAATTCAAGAGCTCTTTTTCTCTATGGAAGCACACCGCATAATCTTATCTAGATTTAGAAAGACAGCGTACAGATATTTTATCGGGAAAGAAACGAGCT